TGTTATATATTTCATAAGAGGACCATCACGTATATTAGATGACACTTCGTGCGACGCCCCCTCCCCACACACCTTCCCCACACACACACCCACACACGCCCACCTCTTCCACGAACGACGAGAAAACTTTTAAATTATTTTTATCAATTTTTAAAGCAATATCGCTTGTTTTCTCTATTTTAGAAAAAGCTGTAACGTCTAAAATGGTATGTGAAAAATAATTGTCTAGGCCTAAGCCTGCTAAAGCTCTGTCGATTAATTATTTCAGCCATTTGAAATAGTAAAACTTTATAAAAACATAGACACAAGGGAAATTAAAAGCAGTTTTCATACGTTGCTTGGGGTCGGCGTGGTCGGTCGGTAAAGCTCATGGCTGCTAAACTGAAAAGTCTCGTGGGCAGACGAGGCTCGTTAGCTGGGGACAGCCACTCTTCTAGGAGAGACAATTTCAAAATCAAACAACTGCTGCCTTGTAGTTTGTTCTTGGTTGGACAAAGGCTATGGAAGCAAATCCAAAAAGAAAAGCAGGCTGAAATCGGAGTCAATGGCCTCAATGGCGCATAACCAGTTGACACGTATCCTTAATTGTGTAGGAGCGGATCCCTCCCAACACTAATAATTAAGAGCGAAGAAGAAGAGAAGAAGATACGCTGCTCTACTCCACCTTCCCACAATGTAACAAAATTGTGAACCACCCCCATACCGCTTCGTGCTGTAAAGAGTATATGTACACGATCCCCACAATTAGGTGCGGCGGAGACCCTAGAAAGACGGGTTCGAATCCCCATTTAAAAAACGAATTAATTAAATAATGACATACTTGAGTTCAACCAGATTTGACGTCAGTCAGTGACGTAACTACCGACAAGCTAGCGTAAGCAAGGCACAGGGGCCCAAGGCACATAGGGGCCCTTTTCCCTCTTTAAAAATAACTAAAACTTTTACAGTGGAATGTTAATATTTGTTTTATGTAAATTATTTTAAAAAGAAAAAGGAAATCCGGTTTCTTTTGTACTGTAGAAATAATTAAAAGTTCCAAAAGGCCGCCAGTCTTTTCTTACTGTACAGGTAATGGCATTCAGTGTGGGGGGGGGGGGGGTCTAACAGGGCCCATATGGCGCTTCTAAAATATATCCGCCTGTCTTTTAGCCTACACTTGAATGACCTTGACATAGCAGCTGAAAGAAAATGGCGGCTGGTCGCCATTATATCGTGTTGACAATTGAGATATGACTGTCTAGGAGGGAAAAAGTCACAAAAAGTTAATGTTAATGAAAAACAATTTCCGACGGAACATGTATACTTGCTTAATGCGATTGTTTTTCCCAAGACATGTATAGTATACAAATCGCAAATGTAAACGCGGTGTTTCAACCCAATTACCATGGTCACACACCCATCGTCCAGTGTTTCTTCCACACTTTTTTCTCCGGGGGGGGGGGGGGAGGCACTTGAAATTTTCGGGGGGGGGGGGGGTAGACTTTCTTCGGGGGGGGGGGGGGGGCGGACACTGTTAAAAGTACATATTTTCTATATAAATTATATACATTTCATTTCGTTCGGGGGGGGGGGGGGGCGGTAAAAATGAAGAGATGCCTGGAAGAAACTCTGACATCGTCTGTTACAGAAGCCAATAAATTTGAAATGGTAATTGGTTTCCTTCGACCTCCTACGATTCGCTTATTTTTATTTTTCAAGCAAGGATTATTATAGAAAATTGTAATCGTGCAGATTATCGAAATCGAGTTTTATGACAAATTTCGACGTCCAGTACCTTCCTGGGTCCAAAATCTCCAGTTTTGCTATTCTGTCTGTATGTATGTATGTGTGTCAGTTAACACAATAACTACAATACCGTTTCAGTTGGGTGGAAGAAATTTCATAAATACGTATTAGCTCCTACAGGCTTCTATCAATGTTTGGGCAATTTCCGGTAACCGGATGGAGCACTCTACTATTTCACGATTCTCAAAAATCTTCAAAATGTATTTGATAATTATATACCATATCAAAGTACAGTAGCATATACTTCATCATGATGTTAAACAGTTGTGTAGAAAACAAACAGTTAAAACTAATCCGGAAAGCAAAGCACCAGAGTATCTTCTAGGCATCTCTTCGGGGCGCTCTGCCCCCCCCCCCCCCTCCCTGGAGATAAAAGTTTGGATGAAACACTGCAAAGAACTTGTCCATTTTCTTGACTAAATGTATCATTATCAGTAATGTTGCACAGAATGAGGTTTTTATTTTTCTCTAACCTGTCTGGTGCGCCCCTAGGGTCGTTACCCTGCGATTACTACGATTTGTTTTTACTACATCTACTCATAAATATTAATAAGTATCGGTTTTTTAAAGATCCTATTCCGTGCTGCCTGTATTTACATAATTAAAACAAAATCCAACAAAAATCAATCATAATGTTCAGAGCGCATTTATTGTAAAATGTCTTTGGATTATAAATTATAAGATCTAAACCTTCCAATCTGAAACAAAAATTACATCAGAAATCTACAGAAATGAACAAAATAATCCATCAAAAATCTAGACACACAAAAATTAAAAGTCATTAAAATCTACACAGGTTAAAAAAATGTTAAAAAAAAAAAAAAACACACAAAATTAAACATGTAAAATATATAAAACAACAAAATATATAGAACATAAGCTAGGCTTAATTTAGCTTCTGTTTTACTTTTAAAAATATCAAAATATAGTATATAAGCTAGGCCTACTTTAGCTTTTGTTGTAGTTTCAGATACAACAACACAATATACAAAAATAAAACAACTATTAAATGACTCATAATTCATCACAAAACACATTATTAGCTTATTAATGTAACCAAAGATAAGTTTTACATTTCATGTTAAAGCGAGGGATGTGAGCACGGATCTAATAAAGCTTTGTTTAGTTTTTTTCAAAACACAGGGGCAGAGTCAGCTTGGTGTTACCATCCTTTTTGGGGAGGAGGCTGGCTGAAGCATATACATACATGTATAAATACATATATATATACATATAAATTATCTTATCCACTTACTCCAGATCTGCTATTGGGAGTTGAAAATTTTCCAACTCTACTTTTAATTCTGAACCTCTGACTCTTCAGCCTAGCTTTAAGCCACCATAAAAAAAATAATATCAACATGAGCTTTGTTTTGTTCAATCTAGGCTCAAGAGCTGCATTAGAGTTTTAGATAAGGCAAGAACAGCATAGCAGAGTTAGGCTACTATTTGGGTTAGATTGTCTAATAGGGGCTAGAGCAAAGCAGGGCTAACTTAAAACAAAATGCTGGGTCCATTTGATGGTCCATCTCATTTGAAGGTCCATCTCATTTGATGGTCCATCTCGTTTGATAATCCATCTCATTTGATGGTCCATCTCATTTGATGCTCCATCTCATTTGATGGTCCATCTCATTTGCTTTGGCTTGGAGGTTTACAAATTAAGGTTTTAAATTATAAAAAAAGTAATTTACAGGGGAAATTATGACCTAGTAATTTTGAATAACAATTTCTTCAAGAAAAATATGGGGTTATTTTGTTTTTTAAGACTATAGAAATTATTTTGTTTAGAAGACATAATTTATTTTTTGTAGTAAATGAATACATATTTTAGGGAAATTTAATACAAAAATCTTTTTTTTTTAAATTAAGTATGTCCAATGAAAAAAAAAAATCTAAATTTTAAAACTTATAAGTGGAATATAAATTCCATTTCTAAAACATGCAAATCATGTATTTTTGTTGCAGTATAAGTTTGATCTTTAGTATTGATTTTATTTAACTTAAGACATGCACACACAAAATATAATTTTTATATGAAGGCCATTATTATAAGCTAGCTGTATAGATAATAAGATTACTAAATTTTAAAATTTAAGCAATTTAAGGAATTATACTTGTGTCTCTATTTCAATATTTTAAATTAATTTATGGGAGTTGTTTTAAAAATATTACAATGACTACAACTGACAATCATAACTAAGTCCATGGATACAAAAATGTATCACCAATATCACACAGTAAACTCTAAAGCTATTAATACAAATACAATCTCAAATATACATTTTCTGAGTTATTGTAATATGAAAAGACAAATTATGCCTGCCATATTAAAGTTGTTGTAGATCACTGCACAAATATCGTAATATCATCACAAATGGATGGAAATCATTCAAATGTTTAAAAAAAATGAAAATATACAATCTGTATTTGTAAATAATTTGTACATCAATATCAAACAGAAATGACAGCGGCCACGTAAAGCTCAAATGCAAACAAAGACTAATCAGCTACTTCAACTAAATGTTTGTGTGGGTGATTCAAGTCTCAGAAAAAAATGTAATTAACCTGAAAAAAATCAATTTGCCTGTGCATAGATTTTTACAATTGTTATTTCTTTTTTTTTAAATGCCAAGAATAAAACATCTTTTTCATTTTTTTTTCCCAATGTTTTTTATACGAAAATTGTTTTAAAAAATTAACTTTTTCAAGGCAATAAAATTGTATACATAATTATTTCTAAATGTTTGTTGGGTACTAAAGAAATTATGGTTAATTATTTTAGAATAAGGCTAGATCTTAACTTTAATAAAAATATTTAAAACTTAAATTTTAAAATAGAATTTTATTACACTATTTTTTTTCAAAAATAGAATTTTAATTAATATAAGATGATAAGAATTACAACAAAACAAATACAGGACTTTCGGTGGTCACTACAATAAATAGAAATGAGACATAGGGAAAGAATCAGAGTATAATGCATATAAAACAATTATATATTTTACAAAAGTCTTAGATTGTATTTACCCTTAAGACCATGCTCTAAATAATATATAACATTTATATTTACAATTTAATACAGTAGTATAGATATTGCCTCTTCTAAATATTTATCATTACTAAATTTAGAATGTAAAATATTTTTAACAACTCATTCCTTTTCACGAAATTGTAAAAAAAAATTAATTAATATACGCAAAATGTATTAATACTTTTGCTATCAGATAAATTCAACAGGCAATTTAATTAATTATGGTTCAATACAAAAATGTTTTTAAGGTTATAATATAACTTTTCAATACGGAAGTTGAGGTATTTTTTTAATGTTAGGGCTTTGGTTGCACAACTAATGTCATATTTTTAAAAATCTAATATTTCCAATTGAAGATTGTTTATTTACTATTTATAGATCCTTATCTTGTATTCATGTTTTAAATAAGACAGCAGTTTGGTTTTAATTAATTTTTTTTGGTTACAAATTGGCATAGTGATGATGATAGCAGCAACTCTAGAACTGAGCGGTAACAGGCAAGTTTCTGCAAATTATAATTATATCAGGTGCATTTTAACCTGACGTATTTACATAATTTGTAAAACTGACATTTAGTTATATTTTTATAACAGATCAAAATAATGACAAAATCCTTACTTCCCTTTAAATGGTTGGAATAGTTTATAAGAGCTAAAGATTTATCACAGCTGATTTATTTCAAAATTTTAAAAAAAATTCTTTTTCCTTAATTCTGGTATCAAGTAGAATATATATACAATATTGTGCATGTAAAATTAAATTTGTATTTATATTTCTTTAAAGATTTCCCCACACCTTTAGTGTAAAGTTTTGTGATTAGTTTTACATAATAAATATAAATAAATACAATCTTAAAATGAGATGCAAAGTTTTATCTACTCTTCACACACACTAAATCCATGCAGGTATGTACAAAAGCAGATACTACTGATAGCTTGAGCAGTGGCAAGAAATTTTTTAATAGTATTTTGTACTTGCCAACAGATTTAGATTGGTGCACTGATATATTTTACAGTGGCATGTACTTGCTTATTTAAAACAGTAATTGCTCCACCCTTTTAGAAAATCTATGACCAAATAATTCGTTACTTCAAGTTTTCGCCTGGTACAGTAACATATTTTCACAATAGCCTTTACTGCCTATTTTAACACTGTAATATTTTGAACCTTTCTTAAAAAAAACCTTTGACCAAATCATTTGTTCCAGGCTAGACATTTTCCTTTAATGGGCTGCCGTCTTTCTTGGGAGAAGGAAGGAGCTCTTTCTTCTTCTCTCCCTCCTCATCTTCATCTTCTTCATGCACAGCCTCCTGTATCTCATGTAGACCAAACCCTACGTCACCTTCTTCATCGTCCTTATCATCCTTACCACCTGCCCAGCTTTGAATCTCTCCATTGCCCATTATGATGTACCTAATAAAAAAATTCACCTTATAAATAGATTTGTTCTAAGAAATCAATATAAAACCATACATAAATGTAAGGTTTATAAATGTTTGTAGTTGTTATCTTTTTTATAGTTAAGAATAATCACATAACTGCATGTTTACATATTTATATATTGGATAAAAATATAAGACCACAATATGTATTCTTTAATTAGCATAAAGCACTTAATCTGTTTATTACAACATTTTAATCTTCACTCACCAAAGAGCACCAGAACAGTAAATAGCTGCTGCAACATAAAATGTTGAAAGCCATTCCTCTCTTGTACCCTACAACAATATAAAAACAAACTTTAACATTTATTTTAGAAACAATGCTTCATTTATACTAAAATCCTTTTTTTTTAAATAACTGCATATTAGATTCTTCTGACCAACAACACATAGAATGGCAGAAATAAATATTAATTATTAATTTAACATTATTTGATAAGGTTAGTTGGTTTTTCTATAAAAATAAACTAAAAATAACTTCCAGAAAAAAAAACTTTCTAGTTTATAATTGCATTTGAACTGAGATTTCTACAACAAAATATATGCAATTTTTATAGGAATATGTCCAAAACATATTCTTAAAATGTCCCTTTTATCATAATTTGTTTTATCATAGAGTTAAGGCCCTTATACTAGCAGTGAAGTATATCTCAGAAGCTGTTATAGAGAGCAATCTCAGGCAGAAAAATTAAAACAAAACGAAATATTTTCTTTCAAGCAATTTTCTGGATAGGGAGGGGGGGAGGGGTGGACATTTACTCACATTTTTAGTCATAGCGGACACGATATACGGCGAGATGATCCCTGGTATTGTGGCCAGCGTATTGGACAGCCCAAACAAGGTCCCAGCATAGGGCGGGGCGATGTCTCCGTGGTTGATGAAGTAGCCAGAGAAATGGAAGCCACACAGCCCAATGGAGATGGTCAACATGACCACTGCTGCCACCTGCTGGTCACACTCCATGAAGCCGGTGCCAATTAAAAATGCAGACGGACCGATCATACCTGTAAGAAGAGAATATAAAATTAGCTTCATTGATAATAGAATATTTTTAGAGTTAACAATAAATGTAAAAAATAAAGAAAAATTATTGAATAAGATAAAAAACTAATTAAAAATAATTAAGACTGAGGAATACTAACGTAATTATTTTAAAATCTTTGAAAACAATCATCAGCATGTACCTTAAACATTATCTGACTTCTTAAGCATTAATAACCTTAAATTTGCAAGTGATATTTCCTATTTTTTTTTTTCTTTACTTTTTGAAATGTACCAAATATGATCTTGAGGCTGTAATCAATTGGACATAAACATGTGCAAGCCAAACCCATAATTCTCCAGTATCAGAAATGTTATAAAAATACTTCTATATTTTTCATGCCATTGAAAGGAAGTTATTAAAGAGGATATTGAAGGGCAAGGTAAAGATATTTTACCAATTGTGGCCATGAGTTTTCTTGTGTTGCCAATGCTCAGGATCCCCCTGGAGATCAACATGTCTGCTATCATCCCACTCAGCGTGATGAAGAACCAGAACAGTAGATAGGGCAGCATAGAGAAGATGCCATTCTGTAAACACCAGTTTTTTAAATTATGTAATAGAAATTTTTTTTTATTATTCTGTAAAATATTAGTTTACTTTTTATCAACTATGTGACATTCTGTAAAAAAAAACATTTTCTATTTTTTAAAAATTGATAAAAGTGTGACAAATTATTTTTCCACCATTAAAATGAGTGTTAAATTTATTTATTACAAATTAAAACTATGGTTTTAGCATTGGCCAAGTATCTATAAACTAATATGAAATTCAACAAAACAAGATTACATTCTAAGCGTTACACCTTATATCAGCTACTTTAAATTCTAGGGTGTTGAAATTTATTTTTACTTCCTTAAGTTAAAGCTGCCTGCTGAAAATTAACTTTAATTAGCTACATGATCGAAAAAAGATCTAACTTTGCTCCACTTTTTCACGAGCACATATACGTAAACATGGCTGGTGACTTACAGATTTGATGTCAAACTTGAGCACCTCCTTCATGTAAGCTGGGAGTTTGGTCAGCAACATGTACGCTCCGTAGTTGCCGCAAGCGTGAGCGATCAGAATCCCCCATACAGGCCGGGATGTAAAGATGGCTTTCCATGGGATGTCTTTGCTCTGGGGCAGGGAAATGTTATTAATGTTAAACAAGTTGCTGAAGCAATGTTATTGATGTTAAATAAGTTGATGCAAAAGATACAAAAAAAATCTTATTTTATTTATGAAATTTTTAGATTTACTACTATAAATTTGAAATCATACCCAAAATAGGCCTACTATAATAATTTTAGGAGAGTTTTCGATATTATAATAGCAACATCCACTACTTAATAACCAATATACTTAATTTAATAATAAGTTAAAATATTTTTAAGATTATTAAAAAGTCTGAATGACTCACAATTTTTTTGTTTTTTGACCTCTCACCAATGGAGTACTTGATGTATTTCTTCTCAATGTCTGAGATGGTTTTGTCCTGTTCAGGTGTGTCATGGGCGAAGATGACCCACAAAACACACCACAGGAACCCAGCGGCACCTGGATGATGATCAGAATAATTTGTATGAAGCAGAATTACATTAGATCAAAATAACTTATATCATTATTCTCTCTTAGATTATTATGCGGAACTACTTTAAATTAAATTATTTTCATCAGAATTATTTATCTTATATTCCGTTCTCTACATTTAAATATTTTATAGGTCTACACATAATGACAGATAAATTCTAAAATTTTAACAATTCAATAATTTAAAAGGAAAAAACTCTTCCAATAAAACTTTTGCTCAAATTACAAGATTGAATGTGTACCAATGATATAGAAGACGCTGGGCCATCCACCATCAAATCCATATGCACAAAGGTAGCCAGCAATGGGGAAAATAATTGCATTGCCAAATTGTCCACCTGTCAGACAGAAGAAATAGTTTGTCTGCTTTTGTAGAAATGTGTGTTGGAATTTAGTTTCTCTGTATAGCACATTTGTTTTTAATTTTTAATACTATCATTAGGACATCCATTATGAATAAGAATAGGAAAAAATGTACAAATGTTACCAGGTGATAGTCTAATTTAGTTTTATATTGAAATTTTTTATGACAAACTGCAATAACTAGGCCTACTGTCATACAACATAAAGGAAATTCTGGCTTACCTGCATATGAGAACCCAATCAAGCGACTTCTCTCATTAGGAGGGGCCCAATTAGCCCAAAAAGCTTGTGCTGCTGGGTACATGACACCCTTGGTAAAAAAAAATTTAAAACATTAATTTCATTTTTCACAGAACAATTGAATTAATTTAATTCAACCACTAGCAACCATTAATTTTTCTTACAATTTAAATTGAATTTTAAATCAAATATTAAACTTTTATAATGATCTATTGGGAAAAAAATAATTTTAAGTTGCATAGAGCTATTTATAGGCCAAAAATTTAACCAACCTCCCCAAGGCCAACAAAGATTCTCAGCACCAAGAAGAGCCATGGGTTGGCTCGAGCCACCACAGGGGAGAGAATTGTGAGGATGGAGACAGGAAACATGGCGATGGCTATCACTTTCTTGGCCCCAAACCTAGATAGTAAACAAACAAAACAATCGGTAAAAACTTTCTTTTTTTTAAAATGTGGCCGCATGAAAATAATTTCAGTAAGGGAAGTAACTACATTAAAATTATTTTTTTCAACTTACTTTTCACTGAGTCGTCCCCCTGGAACTTGAAAAACAAGATATCCCCAGAAAAAGGCTCCTAGCAAGAGTCCTTCTGTCTCCTTACTCCAATCGAACTCTCCTGCCTATGGAGTATGTAAAGTTCATAACACTAAGTCAATAACAGACCATCTGATACTAGCTCAATATTAATTGTTGCAATACCACATTTGTAATTTATTACACTCAAATACTTTATCAGGTAATTTAAAAAAAAAATTTCAAAATTTGAAGAACTTAATTTTATAGTATGTTTGCCACATTTTTGTTTTTCAAAAAGGCTATCATACTAAGTTTGACAATGACAAGGAGATACATTTCATTGAAGCATTAGCTTTTTACAAGTACTTAGAACTTTGACATTAGGCCAGGCTGCTCAAGCAGTAGGCTAGTTTTTTTGTTTTTTTAAACTGGGGTGCTCAACTTTTAGAAGTTAAAAACCCTTTAATTTAAGTCTATAATTTATTATTTTTACATAGTTTTGAATACCAGTCATTTCCTAGTATTACAACATTCCTAATGACAAAAATTGTTCTCTTTTAAATGTCTGAAAAGTATTATGTTAATAAAACTTGTGTTGAAATGTGGATATAACGTACATGTGCCTTGGAGCCAAGTTCTGGACATTTCAGTTGTTCTGGAGACAAAGTTGTGGTCAAGTTGTAACTGGTCATGTTGGGGTCAGATGTCCAGTTGCTGGCAACAAAATACAACATTATCTGATGTTTGAATGTTTATCTTAAGGCAAAAACATTGCTGCTTATATTGTAAAGATTAAAATCTTTGAAATTATATTTTTAAACTTCTTTTTTTTTAATAGTTTTTTTAAATTATTATTATTCATTTAATTGTTATAATATTGTTGTTTTAAGTTTAAAATATCAACATTTGCTTGAATATTTACAATTTGTGTATGTTTTTTTGTTATATTTTCTGTAAAAGTTTTTAGTTCGAAACATTTTTTCTGTTCCATTGTATCTGATGAAGACATGTGGTTGAAACATTATGTTGGTCAAACCTGCTATTGCCAGTTGCTAGAGCCAGGCGTTTAGAGTGGTCAACCATGGACACTATGGTGATACTGAGATTGACTCGCTGGGCGTACAAAATGACAAACCCAAAGAAAGACAAAATAGCCAGCCGGAATCTGTGTGAGGTCCACCAGGGAACTGGAGAGTAAAATAAATGGACACTACAGATAAAGTTAAGAGTAAAATGGATTGCATAGATAAATTGAAATGGGATGGTGTAGCCTAGCATTAGAGTGCTAGATTACTAAGCCCAAAGTCTGATGAGTACTTAACTCATATTAGGAAAAGTACAGGCGGCTGGGCATAGTGCTGACCACACTATCCCTTCTTATGCCAAAGTCACAGAAACAGGAGAACTCTACTTCACTTGCCCCATGGACCATGAGGTTTGAAAAGGGAACTTCACTTCCAAGCACAAAAGACCCTTGTACCTATTATCACTTGCATTTTGAAGAACCCAATATTTAGACTCAAGACTGAAATTTCTCTTTGTAACATCTCCTATGCCATGACTTACCCCCCCCTCCCCACAGTCCCTACAAACTCCTCCCCACATTCTTTACATTTACCTTGACTTAAATCTATTTCCTCTAGCTGCAGACTTGGAGCAGACGCCACTGAGTCTACATGGTGAAAGTCAAAACTCGAGGAGGTCCGTCTGCTGAACTTCCTCCGTCTCATGGACGCTGTGGACGTTTGTGTCTCCAAGGGCGGTCGGCCAGACTTGGTCTTGGGGCTGGACAAGCTAGCACTGAAAGGTGGACACAAGTGGTCAGATAGAGTGGTTGCTATGGTCACCAGATTTAGACTGCTGGACAAGCTAGCACTGAAAGATGGACACAAGTGGTCAGATATATTGGTTGCTATGGTCACCAGATTTGGACTGCTGGACAAGCTAGCACTGAAAGGTGGACACAAGTGGTCAGATATATTGGTTGCTATGGTCACCAGATTTGGACTGCTGGACAAGCTAGCACTGAAAGGTGGACACAAGTGGTCAGATAGAGTGGTTGCTATGGTTACCATGATGCCAACACTGGTAAAGTCAATCACTATGTCTTTTGACAGGCATCAGAGCTGGAAGTATTTAAATAGTGACTAATCATGGTGGCCAGAGCTATCTTTGTGGGGTGGGAAAAGGAGGGGGGGGGGTTGGGTAGAACAACTAGGGATGGGCTATGAATTTGGAAGAGGAGGCATCACAAAACAATTGATAACAAAACACATTTATTGTGAAAACAATGCTTGGTTAAGTTGGTTTAATAAGTGGTACATCTTTAAGTACAGGATGATACTATAAGAATGGGAAGGAGATGGGTGACATTTAAAATTTAAAAACTGCATGATGGCTGAAATTAAATTTCAAAAGTTCATAATGGGTGACATTAAATTTCAAAAGTTCATAATGGGTGACATTAAATTTCAAAAGTTCATAATGGGTGACATTAAATTAAAAAAACTGCATAATTTATTGCATATAGATGGATGAGGCCTAGGTTAAGGTACCATTCTTGTTATCTGTTCTGCTACCTGTACAGGTAAAACTCACCTGGATGACTTGTCTGTTGATGGAGACTTGGGTAACATGGGTTTACTTTTCTCCCCCTCAGGTGACTTCTGACCCCCATTCTGGGGGCTGGGGTCTGTGACGTCATAAGAAGGCATGCTGGGATAGTGTGGTGGGTCACAGACTGCTAACCATTAGAGCTGATTGGAAGAAAAAAATTCGATGTCATTAAAATTTACCAATCAATGTACATCTGGCTATACAATGTTCATTTAAATGTTATTAATAAATAGGCAAAGAGCTGCTCAGTCTTAACAATGATATCTTTTTATAACTTATTTTACAAAGAGTTTTTGTGAGTGTGTGCAAATTTAAGCTACATTAATTTTTTTTTCTGTCATTAAATCTCTCATCTTCTACGGTATGTAAGGGGCAAGAACCATCGTGGCAACGATCTCATTAACATCACACGATTCGGACAGATTTAAAAATCAGTTTTCGTCACTCCTGTTACGTCACATGCAAGCAACACTACCCAGTGTTTCTTCCAGACTTTCTTCTCCGGGGGGGGGCACTTGAAATCTTCGGGGGGGGGGGGGCGGTAAACTATCTTCGGGGGGGGGGGGGGCGGACACTGTTAAAAGTATATATTTTCTATATAAATAATATAAATTTCATTCCGTTAGGGGGGGGGGGGGGGGAGCGGTAAAAAAATTTCGGCCCCCCCCCCCCCCTTCGAAGAGATGCCTGGAAGAAACTCTGACACTACCCCTCCCCCGCACCATGAACCGTTTATTATGTCGCTGCACTTTTATTAAATTTATAGTCCGGAAAAATTACTGATATTTTTGTAATAAGTTAGGAATGTATTTTCCTGCGTATTAAAATTAACAGTAATTAACGTTTGTCACTAGCCTTTTCCTAACATAATTAGTCAGGGGAAGCAGCTCTGGTGAAGGTTAGATGCGAAAAGGAAAGGTTACAAAGTCATATGATTCGTGAAGCTGTAGCAAAACATGCGTAGTGAATAGTGGGTGGTGTATGCAGGGGGGGGGGGGGGAGTTTAGCGGGTTAGAGTTAGACTTCCGTTCATTCCATGGGTCACCAAATTAAGGGGTGTCTCACATGACATTAAATCATTTAATTTGCTTATTAAATTCGGATCCGTAACATAATTGTATAGCTAGCCTCCACTTGAATTTTCATATTTTAAAAAAAAATTATTTTCTCATCGATCATAAAAATGTATGATTTCCCTCCCTTAAATTAAGCCTTGGCGCATAACATTTTCCTTAAAAAAATTGTGTAAATCAGTTTTTTGCTACCTTATTTTTCTATGAACACATTATCAACACACGTCTGATATTTCATCCAACTATAATAAGCGTGTAGCCAAAGTGTACCGCACTTGACACGCTCAATTATTCACAAAACAATAGCTATTCACTTGTGATTAAAAAAAAAACTGGCGACCTTGAACTCTAGTCACGAAAGTGCCGACACACACCCACACACACAACGTAGTTGGCGTGACGTAGTTAAAGTTTCACAAACCATGGAAATTTCTGTCGAGGGGTCATGACGAGCGGTCAGACGACAGCAGTGTGGCACGTCATCACGTGACACAGTTCGACAGTCGAGACCGCTGGTACGTGACGTCATACAACACCGGAAGACGTGAGTGTGGGAGTGCTTGTGTGTGGAAGGGTGGAGGAAAGTGGGAGTGAAGATATACGATGTACCATGAAATGAACCTGTTCTGTATTTTTTTAAAAATGTAAATGAAAATGTTCTGTATTAAAAAATAACACATGGCCAACAACCTTTAATAATAACCGTGTTGTTAAAAGTGCTTTAGGGAACAGCTTGAAGAATTAAAAAGTACAAAAACAATTTCATATAACACATATTGCCTTAATGCGATTAAGAAAAACAAATGTATGGGTTCTATTACGGCCCAGCTTATGCGGTGGTTAAAATAGTGTAATCCGGATGATTTTTTTCAACACGATGTCAAGAAAAACGTTTCTTTCGGGCATCTCTGCTGTGAATGGGGGGGGGGGGGTAGAAGTTTAAGTGCCCCTCCCCCGGGACAAAATGTCTGAAAGATGACCTGGTCGCTGTGCGACACAAAAACACGGGCCGGCCACTGGTCAGTGTGTGCTGTAACTACACACCTTTCGTGACGTCGACGTGCAAACCGCTACAATTTCCCGCGTTTTATAATCCTTCCTGTTCACGTTTGGTCGACGACCGTTGACAAAACCCTACCAGCGTCACTTTTGGTCAGTACTGAACAGTATGGAGAGGGGGGGGGATGTTAGAACCAGGGACGGGGTGTTGCCTATAGCGGTCGCTGACCATAGTCTAGCCCCGCGCATGTTGTGTAAGAAGGAAGAAGAGTGTCGAGTGTTGAATGTAGTGCAGATATGTCAATGACACTATTCTTATACCTGTAGTGTAAGCGCTGCAACAAGATGGCTTAAAGTGTATATAGGTGGTGCAGTTCTAGTCAGACTTCAATAAAAACCAGGATGTCTGTAGAAATATCTTTTGTCGACCTGACAGTTTTAAAACTAAATAGGCCTTTGTTTGTTTTAAATTAAATTCAATAGTCTCTAAGCCTACATTTCTTTTTAAATGAAGTGATTTAAAATAGAACTGCTAGAAAGGTTTTCTCAAAGAAAGAGATCAGACTTTGGTACCACGATATATTAGGGTACCAAGGGACATGTGGGTGCCAAGGGACATGTGGGTACTAAGGAATACCTGGGTACCCAGAGATCTGGGATCTGGGTAACAGGAGATATGTGGGTACCAGGAATACGCCTACCACGAGAGTCGAGAGGTTTGGGTACCCAAGAACATATGGGTGCCAAGTTATACTTGGGTAACACGAGAGATGTTTTTACGACAAGAGAAGTGGTTATCATGACATATGTGGGTACTTGGGTACCACAAGACATGTGGGTACCACGAGAGATGTTTTTACGACAGGTGATGTGGGTACAATTTCGTTGCCGAGTCATCATTTTAACAAGAACCAATTTTATATTTCTGACCTAGCAACAGCTTAAAATATACAGTTTGACCCAGTGAAAATTTCCCATTCCTATTTTTAGACCAACACGTCGTTGATGCCATTGTTATTGTGTTAACTAACAAAATCACTAGCGAGTTGTTTACGCTTCCTTGCATTCTATTTTTAGCACCGGGTTTTCCAGTTTGTGAGACATGTGCAATGCTCGACTGACGACATATACAATAGTACAAGCGCCTTTTAAAACGTGCCAATGTTGTCGAATAGTGTGTTACACACAGCTGATTATGAATATTATACGGGCGCGTCAAAAACAAGTAAGAGTTGCGTTGTCATATTGTTACAGTGTTAAACAATACTAATTGAATATTGCTTTCTCATCCTTATCTAAATCAGAGTTTCTTCCAGGCATCTCTTCGGGGGGGGGGGGGGGGGGGGGGGGGGGGGGAACCCCCCAAAATTTTTTAACCGCCCCCCCCCCCCCCGAACGAAATGAAATTTATATAATTTATATAGAAAATATATACTTTTAACAGTGTCCCCCCCCCCCCCCCCGAAGAAAGTTTACCGCCCCCCCCCCCCCCCCCCCCCCCCCCCCCCCCCCCGAAGATTTCAAGTGCCCCCCGGAGAAAAAAGTCTGGAAGAAACACTGATCTAAATGATAGAAGAAGATTTTTATATTATTGCTTTGAATATGCGACATGGAGTAGAACTATTTGATGTGTATTGTGTGTGGGGGGAGGGGGTGCGGTTTGAACCGTTATCAAAATGTTGGTGTGAGACGTGGGTCTGTGGTGTGTGTGTGGATTGTGCGGGGGGGGGGGAGAGAGAAGTGGGGGTTAGAAACCGTTATCAAAATGTTGGTGTGAGGCGTGGGTCCGGGGTGTGTAATTGTTGTTGGGGGGGGGGGGGGGTTAGAACCGTTATCAAAATGTTCGTGTGGGGTTTCGTGCACGATCGATCCAGCTCCATACATACACACGCACAACTGCACACAGCGACACTCACACATTGACACATATAACATAATGACACACACACACGCAGAAAGAAACTCCAGTGTGACTAGAAGAATCCATCGCCGTTATTTTTGACCTCGACCTATACCAGCCGACAGCTTGACCAGGCACAGATGGCAGAACAAACACTCATCAGGGGGTGGGGGGGTTATTGTCTGGGTCTATCACTGGAGTAATAGATACAAGGGGGGGGGGGGGCGTTATTGTCGGGTCTTTCACTGGAGTTATAGATACAAGGGGGGGGGCGTTATTGTCGGGTCTTTCACTGGAGTTATAGATACAAGGGGGGGGGGGGGGCGTTATTGGCGGGGTCTTTCACTGGAGTTATAGATACAGGGGGGGGGGGCGTTATTGTCTGTCTTTCACTGGAGTTATAGATACAGAGGGTGGGGGGGGGGGCGTTATTGGCGGGGTCTTTCACTGAGTTATAGATACAAGGGGGGGTTATTGTCTAGGTCTATCACTGGAGTTATAGATACAAGGGGGGGGGGGGCGTTATTGTCTGAGTCTTTCACTGGAGTTATAGATACAAGGGGGGCGTTATTGTCGGGTCTTTCACTGGAGTTATAGATACAAGGGGGGGGGGGGCGTTATTGTCGGGGTCTTTCACTGGAGTTATAGATACAAGGGGGGGGGGGGGCGTTATTGTCGGGGTCTTTCACTGGAGTTATAGATACAAGGGGGGGGGGGAGCGTTATTGTCGGGTCTTTCACTAGAGTTATAGATACAAGGGGGGGAGGGGGCGTTATTGTCTGAGTCTTTCACTGGAGTTATAGATACAAGGGGGGAGGGGGCGTTATTGTCTGAGTCTTTCACTGGAGTTGTACCAAGAGATGTGAGTACGAAATGTATTAGTACTAGATGCCAGTACTATATGCCAGTACCATATGCCAGTACCAGATGTCAGTACCATATGTCAGCACCATATGCCAGTACCATATGCCTGTACCATATGTCAGTTACATGACAGATGCTGAGAGCCTGATAAAACCAACACAAGTCTGATGTGAAGAAAACACCAGCACCATCACAACCACACTCCCCCCCCCTCCAATCACCACCTTCCACCGTAACACAAAACCTTACCTGTTTGCAGTGTTTGTGTAGTAGAACTTAACCCACCACAACACGTTAGTTAAAAATAGACGGCAACTATGACAAACCGTGCTATGAGCAACTTACAACAGAGTGAAGGGGCGAGGAAGGAGGTATATTCTATGAGTAACTGGTCCAACGAACTCTTAAGCCGTTTATCGACCCATTTTTCCGTTTATTCTCTGCTATCTATCAAATCGGATTTTGCTTATTGCCTCTCCTTGTAACGATTGTAGGAAAAAAAAGTCACATGAAAAAAGAACACCCGTAACATATGCATCACGTATGTTTGTTATGTGAATGCAGTAACAGAAAAAAAAATAGGACAAGTTCTTGCTCACGGAGTTATTGTTCCTGTCCAAAGCCAGGTTCATTGATCGATTTGGTATTCCCGTTGTGTTTTTTTTTTAGATTAAAAATCTGACCCTCCCCATTCGGCAACACGCGCACACCACGAGCTGACACAGCTAGATAGCTCTAGCTAACCCGGTAGCAATAATGATAAAAACGCCGATCAATTCTGCTACTTGTGTGAATGGAACTGACGCTACGAAAAAGCTACCATTCATTGCATTCGTTCAAATGAAGTGTGTCTGTGTGTTGGTGAAGGGGGTGGGCTATAGAAATGTATCAACCAGCGTGCTTATAATTATAAGGAATGGGGAAAAACTCCGCTAACTTCAATAGTAATATAAAGTCTATATCTTTGTGCATAGCTGAGACATTTATTGCATGTAGCATAAATTTAAGCAGAATGCACATTTCAAATCATATTGCTCTGATTAAGTTGTAAACAGTTGCTGTGAAGTGCACATTAATGTCGTAAATATTGATTTTTTAAAAACCAGCCTAAAGAGTTTTACAGTAAAATTTATGATGATCAAAATCAACACAGGAAGAGGCGGAAAGAAAATGTGATGGCGACACGCCGACCCCATCACCATCGCGACACCTGACATCCCCGGTTTGACCCCAGTCTATCTTTGTTTACGTTTGTCGTCTGCTTTAAAAACGGAGTTATCCTGCGTCAAAGCCCAGGTCACCCCCCCCCCCCCCCCCCCCCCACACACACACACTACGTATTGCCGCGTAATTTGAGTGATAGCCTCAGCACGCGACAGGTCAGATGACAGAGGCCAGTGTAACACAGCCCAGTGTGTCCAGTTAACACAGCCGCGTGTCCAGCCGTAACATAGCCACGGTACTAACAGGCAGATAGTGGACATGGTAACTAAACCGTATCATTTGGGATAGAACTGCAACAACATGATCGTGTAGCATATACGGATAGGCCAACATCATCACACGTACCTATATATAATATAGGCCTATAGCAATAAAATAAAAACTAGCAATAGCCTGTTCTTTTTTGTCGTATTTACATAATAAACAAGTTGACTCTCTTTTTTATAATTAAAACGGTAAAATTATTTTTAAAATATGCTATAGAAATTACGTCTAGTAGGATTATAAGTAAAAACCCAAAAGAATGATGGTTTATTTTCTTTAACAACATTTACTGTCAAGCGTGAAGTCACGTGAAAAGGTTCCTTAAGCTTTTTAAGCTATTCTTTATATTTATAATATGTAGATTAAGTAGGCTTATATGGCTTCTATATTCAATAATGCGTTTGTTTAATATTTAATGGGTAAATGCAAATAGTTGTGTTGATTAAAACGGATCAAAATAACTAAAACATGCTTTATTATTTAGTAAAGTTTAGGTTTAATGCGCTATAGGCTCTAATACAAATAATAATGGTAATAATAAAGGCATGGGGTCTAATATAGACTATTAAACTATTAAACAATAAAACAATTCAATGGATAAACTATGTCATGACATTGGCTCTCTGGTGAGTAAAATTACGTTATGCTGGACAAGTCAGTGTTCAGTCCTGCTTCGTGAATCGAACTGACCCACCGTCCGAGTTTACGGAGAGAAATGTTTTTAAAATGATAGATTTAAAAAATGTGTTTACTCACCGCTACACACGACCTACACGGAACATCCACCAGCTACCGGTGTTTGGGCTATCTCGCGTGCTAACCTTACTTCCTAGGTCAAGAGAGAATTCATCAATGTCAAGGACGATCAACGCTTCGACCTACAACCGAACAGCTATCGGAGTTTAGCAAGTAGAACTGACTGGACTTGGATACTCGAAGGCTAATGAGTAATTATTAATTAATCATGCTCCGTGGCTACGTGCGGGCGTGTCTGACCTTCCCGTTTTGTTGAAAACACACGCACACGTCTGCCGGTTGGGTCACCCTTCGCTGCGTGTGTCGAGAGAAAGAGAGAGAGAGAAAAAAAAAACTGGCGCTAACGTGTTCACAACCCCGTCTAGGAAGTTAGTCAAGCAGACGTGTAACACGTTAAACCAAACGATTGTTTTCGGTGAAATTATTCTAACCGTCTTTCCTTGACCTCGTAGAAGATTAATTTTTTTTTTTTTTTTACCGAAGTACAGCGAAAATGTGAGCCGCAAGGTCGAACCTCCGCAAGGTCAAGGTCGTTCGTACCCACCTCGCGTCTGACGAGAGGGCCAATCGTGTTGTCGGGTGTGTGCCGCACATAACGCAACGATTTACCTGAGCGCGCGCTCTAACCGTTCAACTCTGCCCAACAACAAACAAAAAAAAAACCTTTACAGTGCGGAGATTTAGCCGGGCCGGTTATTTGCGTACGTGCACCTGTGTTGAACACAGCAGACGACGCTTGATTAATTTAACAAACGCTGACAGAGTGACATTAGGGAGATCAATAATTGTAACTTTGAAATCTGATGACCGATCACATTGCTTGCACTTCCCCGGCGCCTAATGGGTTGTCAATTAGCTTTGTTGGTTGATTTTAATAGAGAATATAACATACATTTAAGTCTCTATTAAATATATCGGTATCACCCTGAATTACCCTGTATTTTAAAAATTAACTATCCCATACCCTTTTATCATTCAACATTATTACACCACAAAAGACACATTATAGGCCTATATTATACAAAATATCAGCTAGATGAGAAACCTGATATAAACCTCGGTGGCTTGATCTATTGTATGTCCTATCCCCCACCACACATTTTATTTTGATTTAAGTTATGCACTAGTGCTTCAAAGGGTAACTAAGTGCTTACCTCCCTTGTTTATTCCCAATTTTATAATTCTATGTAAGAGGTCTCATAGGGGCCTATCCAAGTTCTAACAGTATTTTTTTAAAAATTAAGGTAAAACATAAAATAAGTAAGATATTTAAAACTGTATCTGAACAAATGTAATAACACGCAGGCGATTTTATTCGCGTGCTAAGTTGTACATTAATCAATCTACACTCATGAAATAGACTTTGGTCGGGGGGGGGGGGGGGGGTATTAAAATAGTGACCTCACTCCTCACTGCACTTTTAAAAGCAATTTTTAACGGAATATGTATTGGTTATTTCTTATTTGTAGAAGACTTTTTCCCTCGTTGCAATAAAATTGTAGCCCACAAATGTAGCCCACAAATGTAGCCCACAAATGTAGCCCAGATAATCATGTATCCCACTAATGACCCCGCTTGGTTTATATTACTGAAGAAATATAGATAATGGGATGATTATAGAAAATTCTAAGGGACCTAAGTAAATAGATCGGTTGGTCGTCAAGTCTTTATTATACCGAATAGTTTATTTTTAAATGTATGGCTATTGATCGAAATTGCACACATTTGGTTGTTATTTTTTAACGTGAGAACTACTGCTAAGCTTATTGCTAAGTTAACAATTATTATTTTTTTTTAATTTTTAAAATGCATTCAGTGTAAAATAATGAAGTTTTAAAAATGCCCTTTACTGTTTGAATTTGTCCTCAAATTTTTATGACAGAACGTCAGTTGTATCCCTTTGTGAAATAATTAATAGCTCGAGTTACGTCCCTTTTTTGTCGTCAAACCGGTTCACATCACATGTCATTTAAAAAAAAAACATTGGTATCATGCAAGAATAACGTGTGCAGTGTGACGTGAATTACGTCATAATGTTGTGAACTCTTAGGGCCAAATATGGGAAAGTGAAGCTTGGCTAAACACACAGGACATATATAATACACGGGAAAGTGAAACTGGGATGTAACAGGTGTAAATAAATAAGGTGTGGATGGGATAGGGAGGGGAGTGGGAGGATGGAAGGGGGGGGGGGGGTCATGCGTTGGATCAGACACGGTCAAGTCTACTAAAAGAAGGGGTGGTGTGGGAGGTGGGGGGGGGGAGGACTGAAATTTAAAAAAAAACTCCAGTGATAGTATCACATATCACACGAAGGCGGGCAGATAATAAAAATGAGGCCCCCGGCACTATAGAAAACCTGGCACTCATTAACAAGGCCTATTTCATTTTTCAATGTTATCCTTTCCAGGTATTTAAACCAGTTACCTGCTAAACCAATTACATATTACATGCTAAATAGTTGATGATATATTATTAAGGAAGTAACTGCTCAGTGGGGAGGGGGGGGGGAACAGTGGTGAAACAGAATGCTTGACTGTACTATTTAAATATTGTACGCTTAGACTACTTAGAGCACTAGGCAGGTGAAAAAAATATAAAGCTACCTTTTCACTGGCAAGTAAAACTATTCAGTAAACTGGTCATGTCGACCTACCTATTCAGTAAACTGGTCATGTCGACCTACCTATTCAGTAAACTGGTCATGTCGACCTATCTATTCAGTAAACTGGTCATGTTGACCTATCTATTCAGTAAACAGGTCATGTTGACCTATCTATTCAGTAAACTAAAAGGTCATGTTGACCTATCTATTCAGTAAACAGGTCATGTTGACCTACCTATTCAGTAAACTGGTCATGTCAACCTACCTATTCAGTAAACTGGTCATGTCGACCTACCTATTCAGTAAACTGGTCATGTCGACCTACCTATTCAGTAAACTGGTCATGTCGACCTATCTATTCAGTAAACAGGTCATGTTGACCTATCTATTCAGTAAACAGGTCATGTCGACCTATCTATTCAGTAAACTTAAAGGTCATGTTGACCTATATTCAGTAAACAGGTCATGTTGACCTATTTAATCAGTAAACTAATAGGTCATGCTGACCTATTGAGATGGTATCAGTGATGGTAAAAATAAAACCACTAAAAATAACTACAAACCACTAATCAATTTATAAGTTTAATTAACTTCCGGATAATTTTAAATAAAATCAAGACAACAGTGACACTCTGTGATTATGACAATTAGTTTAATTAATATATCGCTCCAACAAATGAATCCAAGCTGATTAAATAACGTTATGTAAATGTTTTTAAAAGTGGCTGAAGCTTGATCTAGACCAAGTCACAAAATGGAATTCATCAATTCCTGGTTAAATACAGAATGTTCAAAACAACAATTAAATTTTTTTTTTGTTTTTAAATTCATCGGCAAGTAAATATCAGATGAATAAAGGAAGAAAATTTGAATCATTTTTATTAAAAACATCAGCATTTGAAAGAGAAGAAGTTTATTCCCGAAACAAATTTTTTTTGAAACAACCGTATACAAGTTTATTGATTTTAAGATTTTTTGACAAGTTTTAACAATGTTTACACAAAAAAATTATCAATTATTCAAATATGTAAAAAAAAAAAATATATGCCCACAACATAAAAAAGACATTAAAAAATGGTTTGATATTTTAATCTAGACCAGACAGTATAAAAAACAAATTCATCAGAGTGTCACATTGACAGACTGCTGGGACTACTGTCCACCTATATTGCTCAACTCTAGACACAGGTCATGTATATATTAAATAGTAAATAAATTAATTTCAACCAGATCCAATATACACATTTGGTCACAGGAAGCTGAGCGGTACAATATAAACATCTGACACGAATGGATGAGTCTTTACAGTAAGTCAAGCACATGTATCAATAGCCAAAAATAAAATGGTAACACAATCACAATGAAGTTGATGAAGAGAAAAATAAATCAATATTATGAAACTTTAATTATGTTGAGTGAAAAATTCATTAAAAAAAAATTGAAATGGAGATATGATATATGAAAAGTGTTTATGGTGAAAGTATGATTAATTTCATCAAAGATGATGAACCAGCATCTATTGGCAATGTGTCTACGACAGTGGTAGCTGAAGTCAATAGCTAAATGTACATTTTTATTTTATTCTAAAGAAAAGCTGAAAGATTGACAAAGTTAAAAGACTGGGGGGTAAAAAAAATGTATACATAGAAAATGTCAGCTGACCAGATTTTAAATATTTAAAAGGTTAATGAGTGCAGTTTTATTTTCATGACCTGGCCATCACCTGTGTCCAGGTAATGATGTGATCTCTGACCACAGCTATCTTCCAGCAGTGGCTGACCAGTGCCAGGAGTCCTTTGGACTGTTCCACTGGCCGGCTAGCACATGTTCTAACAGGTCATGTGATCATCTGACCCCTGGAAACTTGCCTTCTTTACCTGACTGACCTATAAACTTATGACATTCAGGTCAACAGGTCATGTGATCTTCTGACCCCACCTTGAACTTTGATCTGACCTGTGAACTTTGACCCATCAACTGCTGGGTCATTCAAGGGTCCCAGAATTACCATACAAGAAATCATAACGTATTCACATATGTACAGTTTAATTATTAGGGCACATTTGTAAGGAAAAGTATGACAGAAATGTAACACAAAATGTGCGTTGGAATCAGGGCAAAGTCACATTCCCACTTTCACTTGGTCATTACTTATAAGAAAAAAAAGGTAATTAACTTTTAATTAAGGCAAAAATTAACCTAGGCAGAATTACCACAAAAATTTTTTTTTGTTTTAAATTTCTCACATGCTATTCACAGATAAGTAAAGTTATCATTTGAAAAAACATGAACAAAAGTTCAGAGTTCAACATCACTAGACAGCAAAGATATTCAAGCAATTTGATTGGTCAATCACAAAAGGTCAACAGATATGACCTTCACAAAAAAAAAACAACTACAAACACTTGACTAAGGAGCTCAATAATCCCAGAGGAAGTAGAGTTATTACTGTAGTACCTTTTATCTGTTGTAAAAGTCTTTTAGCTTTTCCTTTTTTTCAAAGTCAGAAGCAATGCAGTTTAGATCCAAGTTCAAGGTCATGACACAGCGGTTGCTGGTAACATGACGTTGGTGGTTTTCACGAATGAAAATCTTTTTTTTGGTTTAAGATTTCACCTCAGTGCCAGTACGATTCCCACCTGTAACAGGTGTTTTGATACCATAGAGGTAATGTGCAAGAGATGAGGGAGGGCGGAGTCTAGGGGGCGTCATCAGGAAACAGCTCCAGCCAACGGCGTTCAAAGAACTGCCTCATGATGAACCCGGCCTGGCCCACATCGGAGTCGTCCTCGTTGAATGTTTCGCAGTTGTTGAAAATGAGCCGCATGTCTGCTGCAAACTCCTGTCTGTGTTTGTATCTGTTGAACATAAAAATAGTAAAACTTACAGGCCCGGGCGTATTTTGGTAGGTTGTCAGCACTGTCATGGAGAAAGGGAGGTAATAATAATATAAGTATTTTATAAAGGTAACCATAATAGGCACAGACACCTTTTTTTTCACACTTGTCATATTTATTAACATTAATAATTTTAATAAAATAATAACATTTAAATATTAAAGACAGTAATAAAATAGCATTTAAAATGATGATAGTGATATTACGATAGGTATAATTATTTTTTTACATGAAGAAATTATATATCTGGTGCATTTACAATTAATACAAATCATTTGGGGGTCAATTTTAAATAATTTTGTTTTACATAGCAATCAAATCAGAACATAGCAGTTATAAAGACTAATTATTTTTGCTCAAGTATTTTAATACAGAAAAAGAAGGGAGCTCACTCTTTAGCTTTTATTTTATTCCTGGCAGTAGTGAAGTCCATGGGAGTCTTGATGTATTTCTTGTAGGAGGGGAACTGTTTCCTGTTGACTGGCTTAAGGAAGGGCCAGCCATCCTCGTGTTTCTCTAGCTCGCTCAACAGTTTTCTGGAACAGGTGTGACAGGTAAAGGTGTGAAATGATACAGGTGTGATGTGATACAGGTGTGATGTGGTATAGGTGTGATGTGGTACAGGTGTGATGTGGTACAGGTGTGATATGGTACAGGTGTGACATGGTACAGGTGTGACATGGTACAGGTGTGACATGGTACAGATGTGATGTGGTACAGGTGTGATGTGGTACAGGTGTGATGTGGTACAGGTGACATGATACAGGTGTGACAGGTAAAGGTGTGAAATGATACAGGTGTGATGTGATACAGGTGTGATGTGGTACAGGTGTGATGTGGTACAGGTGTGACGTGGTATAGGTGTGACATGGTACAGGTGTGACATGGTACAGGTGTGACATGGTACAGGTGTGACATGGTACAGGTGTGACATGGTACAGGTGTGACATGGTACAGATGTGATGTGGTACAGGTGTGATGTGGTACAGGTGTGATGTGGTACAGGTGTGATGTGGTACAGGTGTGATGTGGTACAGGTGTGATGTGGTACAGGTGTGATGTGGTACAGGTGACATGATACAGGTGTGACAGGTAAAGGTGTGAAATGATACAGGTGTGATGTGGTACAGGTTTTACATAATACATGTTGACATGATACTAGTTTGACATGATACTAATTTCATATTACATGTTAAATATGATACAGCTAAACAGATTTAATTTTAGAGATGTTGAGAAAAAAAAATCTATAAATAAGTAACTTCTAGTAGTTAACTTTATAATGTTAGCATGTGTAAAGATTTTACTTGATCCAACAGTTATCTTATGTTGACAAAATATGCAAAGATTGGTTATTTTGTTATTTGGTACATAAGCAACAGATTATAACCATCTTTCTCAAGGAAGGATTGTGGAATTATGCATACAATAAACTGTTTTCTATTTTTTATAATATTTTAAATTTATCACAGTTGGTTTCTCATTCTCATTTTAAACATTAATTACATCTTAAGCAAATCCAAAGATCAGATTTTAAAAATTGACTCTCTGTAAAATGGTTTATAATCTAGATAAATGATCTGAAAGACAACCAAACTTACCCACAAATCACCAGGTCTTTGTTACTTCCCTTTTCAACTTTCTTGTCCTCCACTTCAGGAGATTTCTCACTCTCCTCCACTTTCTCTTTCTTCTCTCTGGGTTTCCTCTCTTTCTTTTCTTTTTTCTCTTTCTTCTCTTTTTTCTTGGGTGGGGGAGAGAAATCAGCCTGCCCGCCCTCTTTTTCTTTCTTTTTCCTTTTCTTCTTCTCTGGACTAGATTGCTGTGATGAGTCGAGGCTAAACGATGGTGCAGTGGGTGTTTTTTTGCTGTTTTTGTCCACCTCCACGCACCCCCCTCCCCCGGATGAAGTGGAAACCATAGAACACTCCTCAGTGTCCAGTGTGTCCTCCTTGACCAGCTTGGTCACTATAATCCTCTGTACTGTGGGTAGGCTCTCCTTACGTTTTTTACGTTTGGAGTTTCCCTAAGGTAGAATACAAAGGTTTAAAATATACATCCACACAGATTTAAATTTGTCGAGTTTTTTAAGATAGAAGAAGTTTTAACATAATACCAGTATATCCAGATAGGAAGATATATATAGAATATATGTGGAGTTTCCCTAATGGAAGAAAACATTTTTACATAATATCTACATATAGGAAGACATCTACAGAATATATGTATTTCCTACAGTCCAACCAACCACCACCCCATCTGATTAGAACATGAATAAACAATATATCAGGAATTCAGTGGTCAGAACTAAGTCCAGCCACTTTCATTTTCCCTGATACCTAAAATAGGTGGGTGGACTTAGGAACCACTGATTCAAGCTCATGAGAAGAACTAGTGAAATATAAACAAATATAACACTTATCAAACCTATGAATATTAGCTATAAGCATCAAATTGAATATTTTCTGTACAGTAAATAGTTAGTACACAATGAATCACCTTTTCCACTAAACAGTTGGAACACTGCCATTTCTTGGGCATGCGAGGTAGAGGTGGGTCCAGACAATCCAGGTGGATGTACCTGGGACACTTGCAGCAGGAGACTATCCTGCCACCTGGGCGACCACATACAACACAGTGGGGCGTGCCACTGGCCTGCAGATATTATACAGGTAACATTAGGTGCTAGTATACAGAAGGTAAACATTAGGTGCTAACATAGAGATGGTAAACATTAGGTGCTAGCATAGAGATGGTAAACATTAGGTGCTAACATAGAGATGGTAAACATTAGGTGCTAGCATAGAGATGGTAAACATTAGGTGCTAGCATAGAGATGGTAAACATTAGGTGGTGTCATGGGGATGGTAAACATTAGGTGCTAACATACAGATGGTAAACATTAGGTGCTAGTATACAGAAGGTAAACATTAGGTGCTAACATACAGATGGTAAACATTAGGTGGTGTCATGGGGATGGTAAACATTAGGTGGTGTCATGGGGATGGTAAACATTAGGTGCTAACATACAGATGGTAAACATTAGGTGGTGTCATGGGGATGGTAAACATTAGGTGCTAACATACAGATGGTAAACATTAGGTGGTGTCATGGGGATGGTAAACATTAGGTGCTAACATACAGATGGTAAACATTAGGTGGTGTCATGGGGATGGTAAACATTAGGTGGTGTCATAGAGATGGTAAACATTGGTGTCATAGAGATGGTAAACATTAGGTGGTGTCATGGGGATGGTAAACATTAGGTGGTGTCATGGGGATGGTAAACATTAGGTGGTGTCATGGGGATGGTAAACATTAGGTGCTAACATACAGATGGTAAACATTAGGTGCTAACATACAGATGGTAAACATTAGGTGGTGTCATGGGGATGGTAAACATTAGGTGCTAACATACAGATGGTAAACATTAGGTGCTAACATACAGATGGTAAACATTAGGTGCTAGTATACAGATGGTAAACATTAGGTGCTAGCATACAGATGGTAAACATTAAGTGCTAGCATACAGAAGGTAAACATTAGGTGGTGTCGTGGGGATGGTAAACATTAGGTGGTGTCATGGGGATGGTAAACATTAGGTGATGTCGTGGGGATGGTAAACATTAGGTGGTGTCATGGGGATGGTAAACATTGGTGTCATGGGGATGGTAAACATTGGTGTCATGGGGATGGTAAACATTAGGTGGTGTGATGGGGATGGTAAACACTAAATGGTAGCATCTGGGATGGTTGAAAACCAGATAGTAGCATGGGGGATGGTAAATATTAGCTGGTATCTCAGCAGATATCAATGGCAATCAGGCTCAGGTGTATATTTCTAATAACTAGAGTTACCTATATGTACATACACAAAAATGAAGAATTACCTACCTTTGAAACACACTCAAAGCAATACCAATCACCATCTGGAATGTTTTCCATTTTGGGCTAAGAAACATAATATATTTTAAATATAAATATTGCCAGTGCCATCTACAAGTAAACAGTTTAATAATAAAGTTTGTATTTGAAATCTTCAACAGAAACAATTTTTAAAAAAAGAAACTTTTTACCTTAAAGCAATAGGTGTGGTAACCCTTGTCACAGCCATCACAAAGCAAAAGTTGAGCCTCATTATCATCTTTCCTACATATCTGGCACGTCTGCATTCAATCAGTTAAATAATCATTAAAATCAACTTTGTAAAACAGTTACCATTAATTAAAGATTTGCGTTGCAGGGAATACAAATTATTTGTACAAATTTGTGTATATGTATTTATAACAAGCTTTTATGTGAGAGATAATGTACCTACATCTTAACAATACCTATTATTATAAGAATGTCTTCAATGTGCATGTAAATGTGTGTGTGTGTTGCTGTGTAACTGTACTTATTTATGTGTATACTTAACTGAATGAAAATATAAATACGTCCTTTTAGTGTATGTGTATGTGAATGTATATGTATGTGTATGTATGGAATGTATATGTATGTGTATGTATGTGAGCACGTACCACCCTCATGATGCTCTTCTCCCAGGAGATGGACTTGGCCAACAACTGTGTACACAGACTGAGCTGGGCCGGGCTCTCAGAGCCGACCACCGCCTGCCTCCACAGCAGCAGACCTGGGGGGATGTCCTCGTCATCACCAAAGTCTCCGTCAATCCGGTCTGTGTGTGAGGACAGGCTGGACAGGTTCAGCTGGACACTAGAACATGGACACAAAGTTGACATAATGTTGACACAAAGTTGACACAAAGTTGACTCAAATTTTCCTCAATATTTAAACTGTTTCATGTAAAAACTACAGGGGCAAACAGAACACTTTGTAATGTGTTTTATTCTATAGAACACATAAAATACAACCAAATGCTTGAATAAGCATAAAGTCATGTAGATAGCTTGTACTTTATTTAAATAATAAAGAATAAAAACATAATAGTTATATTAATACTATTATTTTTTTATATATAATCTAAAGCTGAACCGCGGCATATCATACACCTCTATTTAGTTGCTTTATTTTCTACTTTTGAGTACTTCATAGTTAGTGAATTTGTGCGTTTATGTGGTGTCGCTTGGTCATGAAGAGAATTATATATATAGATAATAATATAAACATAGCAAAAGTCATATATATATATATTAGTAAAATATTTGAACCTAAGAAGAGTGAAAATAAAACGCCAATAAAAGAGCAAGTGATCAGTGACTGACCTTCTGATGAGGGGAGGTTTCAGGTAGCGCCTCTCAATGTTGGCCTCCAACTGCAGCAGACGTGAGATGGCAATGTCCAGCGGGTAGCTCTCAGTGTCGCTGACATCCTTCACTGACCTGTCCACCAGAGTGATGTTGTTGTCTTTGTTGGGGCGCCACCCTTGCTGTGGTCAGATTGGTAAAATTCAATTCATCAACAACATACATTGTATGATACATGGGCTAAACTTAATATTAACAGAACGCATGTGAGTCAAATTATACTCTCTGCTAATTAATAACACCAAGTAATAACACTGCAAATTCCAAATTTTTTTACTTGAATTTACCAAATCAAAGAGTTTTATAAAAAAAAATGTAGATATCTATTTTTTAAACAATTTGTAAAAGCCGTTCATTGTTTTTTAATTTTTAAAAAATATTATTTTTAAGAATTCTGGTGTTGACATGTATTTTTGTGTTAAAGCTTTTGAAGTTTAAAATATTAATCACCATTTTTTTTTAAAATAAAGCTTTAGATTTTTCTTAGTCTCCGATAAAAAAACGTAGCTCTATTTATATAATTTTACCTTGGCTTGTAGACTGGCCTGAAAGATCCTCTCTTCCAGCGCCTCCACTTCGTCAAGCGCGGCCATCTCGATCTGATGCATACATGAAATTGACCAGTTCTCTGGGTCGTCAGGTGGAACAAAGTCCTCCACACTGTTTTCCCCAGCCTGCAGACAATCCACCTTAACCTCACTGTCTTTGGGCTTTTCCTCTGCTGTTTCCTCTAGTTTTACTTTCACTTCCTCTACAGGTTTGTCTACCTCCTGTGCTGAAGAGTCAGCTGGTTCAGGTGTTGGCCCCTCAGTGTCCACCTTGTCCACCTCCATGCTCTTGTCCTCATCTGGTTTTATGTCATCTTTCTCTGGTGTTTCTTTGTTTTCAGTAAGTACAGGTTGGCCTAGATACATTATTTATACAGAAAAATAATTTCAATTTCAATAATGTATGTGAAATGGTATAACAATATTTTCATTAAAAAATCTACTATTGGCCTTAGGAAAAATAAATTTTTAATTAAATAAATACAATACATAAAAAATTTGTAATTTATAAAATAAATAATGTAAATATAACAGCAATATTTCCATAATGTAAAAGTTAACCTGGATAAGTTTAAAAATACTTTAAAAATTAAATTGAATCAAATATATTGGCCAAAGCATATTTAACCAATAAGTAAAAACTAAATTCATTTAAAAATATACTTTACATGTCATTTAAGAAATGCAATATAGTTTTGAGTGTGCAAGATTGTAGTTATAATGCACTAACCCTTACCAGTTTCTGGATTTATCTCCCCTTTCTCTGAATCATAAGTACAGTGTAGCCTTGCATAATCCAGGTACCTGTGGATTGACCTCTGCAAGTTTTTCTCTCTGATGCCTCGATTTAAGGTGCAGGGCATGACAGACTTCAGCATGGCAATGTCATAGATCCTCCACCACCCATGTTGTTCATCTGTGGTCAAGATATGGTCAGTGATGTTATGGTCAGTGGTGGTACAGTCATTAGAGAATGATATGGTAATTCTATGGTGCTATTGTATTATAAAATCATATATTATTCTATGATATGTTATTAAAAGTATCAAATGGTAATTCTATGGTGAAATGGTCAATTTAAAAGGACACAGTTATTGGTGATAGGTTCATTATAGGATGAAATGGTCATTGTTGTTAATGTAGTCATTAGTTATATGACAAAATTGTATGGTCATCAGATGGTCAGCATACAGTCATAAAGACATAACCATCATGTGGTGGTAAAAAAATGGATAAAAAATAGTCCAGATATGGTCATAATACAGTCAAGAAATGGTAATATATTGACTTGTTAAATTTTTGTAAGAAAATAAACTGGGCTTCTGTTTTTAAAATTATTGGATAAAGTGAAAATAAAAAAAGTTTAGTTTACACTCATGGCTTTTCAAAAATTAGTACTGAGGTGAATGTTGATGACACTAATTTATTTATTTTATTTATTTATTCTTTATAATGCTCTTGTTGCTACTTACTTTTTGGTATAGGCTGTGCCTCCCCTTGGGCAGCTCGTAAGATATCCCAGGGGTCAGACTGGAAGGCCATGTCAGGGGGCGGTGGAACTTTGAACTCACCGGCAGAGTCCAGGCCAGGTGTACTGCAGGGGGTGGGTGAGACGGATGGTGTGACCTGACTGGTCAGCAGCTGCAGGGAGGTGAACAGTGGATCCTGCGACAGGATGGATGGGTTGGACTGGATCAGTGGCAGCAGGCTGTCGAAGTTTGCCGCGCTCGGGGAGCTGAGGTATGAACTGAGCGCGGATAAGGATGACGAAGCGGATACGGATATCGCAGATGGAGAGAGCTGGTAGTGCGATGACTGTGGCGAGGGCTGCCCGTGGATGGGCTGGGTCAGGGAGAACTCATCACAGGGCATGCGCGGCAACAGGCTGAACCAGACTTTGTGGTCGACGACCTCAGAGCTGGGTTTGTTCCCCTGGTCTGCGGTGAGTTGCTGGCCCTTGTCTGGCTCTGACGATGTGGTTGGCAGCTGTTTTTTGGTCTCGGCAGATCTCAGCACCTGAGAGGCCGCTTGCTGGAGGAGTTCAGAGGAAGAGTAGGTCGCTTCCCCTTTCAAAATGGAGTCAACTTTTGGGTATGTGCTGCGTGTTTTAGAAACATTGGAGTTGGAGCGAGGCAGGATGGGGGTGGAGGTGAGAAGAGGTGCGGATATGGCGGATGTTGTGATTGGATTATTGTGAGCAGGTGGAGGGGAGACAATGGATGCTAAGCTAGACAAAGTTTCGGAGGCACTAGATGGGCCGTAAGGGTGATGGGAGAGGCCGGGGATAAACGGGGGCTGGGGGAGGTGAGGTGAGGGTGCGGGGCCAGCAGACAGGGGAGGTAGAGTGGATGGTTTGTTGGACTTGTGGCCCGAGTGGGCAGCAGGGGGTGTCAGATCTAACAATGGACTAGCCTGAGCAGAGGGGTGGAAGGGCGGCAGAGGTTGTGGATTTATTGGCTTTGTGTGCGCTGGAATAGGGGTGGATGCCAGAAGGGAGCTACCGGTTGACAGTTTTGATTTTGCTGTAAAGTCAATAGGCACGGAGGCACTTATTGAGATGGGTTCTGGCCCTTTAGAATGTGTTAGATGAGGTAATTTTGGTATGGCTGAGAACAGCAGTGACGAGGTTAGTAGAGACGGTGCCGAGGGGACTGATGGTGGCACCACAATGGTGGAATCTTTCAGCGGCAAATCCTCAGGATCATCACACTTGTACGCCTGGTGAATCGAATGGTTCAACAGGGCCACCAGGGTCTCTCTCTTGGGCTGGCCCATGCTCAGGTCAAGCTGGGCCACGTCTGGTTGACTGGCCGCACCTTTACGCTGGGACACGCCCACTTTCGGCACCTTGAGAATGTCAGAGCTACGACAGCCGAGCTTGTCAAAGGGCTCTGCGCCCTTTTTGGGAATCCCGTTTAGTGATAAGTCATCCGGCAGCGCTGGGGTCTGACCACCATCACAACCATTACTGGATAAATATTTATGAGCCGGGGGACCACTTTCATCTTTCCCACTGGGAGGAACAACGGCTGGAATGAATTTCTGAACTTTGTCTATCATTTGAGAGCCATTTTCATGTTTGAATGGCACGGCGGCAACATTCTCCGCCCTACATGCAAGATCTTTCTCCGGTTCGGACACACTGCTGTTTGTATTAGCACAAAATTTGATATGTGGCCATGCAGCCAGATGTGTAGGTCCAACCGCATTGAAGTGGTTGTTAAAAATGTCTGCTGCGTCACCTGTTTTATCCAGTGCAGGACACACCTTGGCACCTGGTAACCCCACCTGGTCTAGCTTAAGGGAAGTAACTCCAATGTTGTTATTATCAATGCCCTTGTCTCTTATCTCAATGTTTGGTGTGGCTGGTGTGTCCTCCTCGTCCTCCATCTCACAATCTAGCTCCTCACTCTCCTCTATGTCTCTACCAGACTCCGAAGGGCAGGAACTCACCTCAGACACGACAGATTTATCTTCCTTTGATATGCAATTATCTCCCTTCAATACAGAGTTCTCTGTCTTTGAGATGTCTTCTCCCACTGAATCTATTACATTTAACACGCTCTCACACTTATCACTATCCACATTATTGCCTATACCAACCCCTGCATCAACAGTCTGTTTCTCACATGAAACTGAATCATCCACTGGACCAACTTCCTCTCTAGTTTCTTTCTTCCCCTCTGCTACCTCAGTTATCTCTGTATTGCAGCTAACCCTGGACTCCACCTCACTGCCCTCCTGTTTCTCCTCCTTGACCTCAACCTTGACATCCCCCGACTGGTCAGTTTTAGTGTCCACTTGGGCCTCACCAGCTTTGATGTAATCCTCAGGCACACCTGACTCCATCCCCTCCACGTACACGCCCCCGGTCAGGGGCAGGACCCAATATGTCCTCTTATACCTGTCCTGGCCAATGTTGATGGCCCGCAGACGCAGAGATGCCCGGAACACTTTCTGTCTGTACGCAGCGTGTTGCTGTAATGTAAGGAAACACAACAATAATACTCACATAATATAACAAAACTAGTCAACAGAAATTATAGTCAATATTTACCCTATTTTCTACAAGACTAAAATGTAAAGAGAAGCAGGCTATTAAGGATAGAGACATACACAAAATTATTGATGGATATTTCAGCTACTTTAATTTAAGTACTTTGTATGATCTGTTCTTAAACACTCATTAACATTTCAAATAGCTTATGTGAGAAAATTATTTCTTATTGGGACGTAATGATTTGAACAATGTTTGTAAAGTCAAGCAAAATGCAGACATCATCTATTCCCCTGAGTTTCCTCAACACATATTTTTTTCCATTCCTTAACCAGCTGATTTGGATTTGGTAGTGGGATGACCTAAAGTTTTGATCCCAGGTACTTTACTTGAGAAATTTGGGTTAATTAAACCACTAGAACACACTAATTCCTATAAAATGGTAACATGGTTTTAAAAGCTCATCACACAAATCCTAGATGAAAGGGAAATTGTTTTAAAAATTGGTCTCTTACTTTTCTCAGTTTCTCCAACCTCTTATCAGATTCTTCTCTTGTTAAACTTTCATCAATAGGCTGTAAAAAATTCAAAATAACATCAGTAACATAGGAGTAAAATAAAACAGCTGTGCAAATAGAATGCGAGAAAGAAGATTCTCATACCTCAAACGGCATGTTAGAGGCGGAGGATGAGTTGGTCATCACACTGCTGCATCCATCGCTTTCATTGCCGCTGCCTTCATCGTCATCATCATCCTTATCATCTTCATCCTCACTGCCCATTTTTGATGAGGACATGGTATCCTCATCATGCACACCACTAGAGTTGTTGGGACGTCGATCCGATGATTTGTGAATTTTGTTAAACTTTCTGGCTTGGAAGACGCGCAGTCTGAAATTTTAAAAATAAATAAATAGTATATGAAAGCAAAAATTATATAAATACCCCTGCCCTTTTTTTCTAAAAATATTGTAATGATAATTTGGTATTTGAAATGTCTTTTGGTATGGGTAAAAAAAATTCTGGCTACTTTATTAAATTTTTATTTAGCGATTTGGTTACCAGATTCCAAGTACCCATTAAAACTGAGTTTGCTGATAGAAGTCTGGGTTGTATTTTTTACCATAAATAAACAGCTGAGCTCCTTAGAGCTCCAATGCAACATCATTTACATGATCACAAAGCTAAGGTAACTTCAAACAAAACAACACAACCAAGTTCTAATTACAACATCATTTATTTTATGACACAAAGACACAACTAAGGTAACACCTAACATATTTACCTACTTCAAACAAAACAACCCAACTAAGTTCTACTCACTACACCATAAGACAAAGTTTGACTTACTGTCTTAACTGCCCCTCAACAACCCATTTGTCTCGTCTGAGGTTGTTGATCGCATCCATATGCTTGTCAATTTCACTGGATTAAAAAATAACAGAAATTAAGTCGGTTAAAATTAAGAAAAACAAATTAAATAAAAACATTGTTAAATAAATCCTGATTATTTAATTTTTTCTACAGCTTAGCTAAAACATGTAGCTTATATTACTTAGTTATGACTTTGCTGGTCAAAAGTTCATTGCACAAAAATGCCAAGATGGCCGCCTTCTTGGTTGGGTTGAGAGCCTCCATTGGTTTGTCTATCAGCCACTCCATCATCTGGGGGATACAAACAAGTTGCAGTCAAACGCAGTATAAAATTTTTTAAAAGTCCCACAAAGCTCAGCTTCAACAGAATGGGTGTATCAGATAAGTACAACCTGTGGCAAGATCAGAAAGAAGGTTTTTCGAGAATTAGAAAATGAAAATATTTGTTGGACCTCTTTTTCTCCACGAGCTTTGAGGAAGATTCGTAAAACTTCTGACATGGTGGTGTCTGTCATCTCCATCTCAGTGATTTTCTGGTTCAGCCTGGTTGTGGCCTGAGGAAGGAAGAAAAATATTTCTTCAAGTCTTCTATAGGTGAAAATTAGTTACGGCAAAATATTTTTTATATCGTTTAATAATTAAAACACGCCTTTCAATATGAAGATCTTTTTTTTTTTTACCTATTTTAAAATTTCACAATTTTAAAAAACAATTTAATTCAAAAATTAATGTTTTATAATTTGAACTACCTTAAAACTTTTAAAAGGAGATAAATCATCTCAAATTTAAAAAAAAATTCTATCAATATGTTAACTTATGTTACTAATTACATTAAAATTTTATAAACTGGGGGAACCATTAATTTAAAATGTTTAATTATTTGGACTGCCACATATTTTAAAAACTAGAATACAGCTAACACATTATTTAAATATTTACCTCTTTAGGGTTTGGAACCCCCACATCATCCAGTGCAAACCTCAACAAATGCATGACTAGGGACATGAGTTCCTCCACATCATCATCAGATTCATTCAACAAGCCTTTCTCTAGGGACTCCAGGGTTGGGATGGAGGATTTTTCTGGATTCAAAATTTTTTAAATGCAATTAATAAATTATATTACAAGATGAATAATTAAATATTATTAAACCGTTCAAACAGGATTTCATTAAGTATTTTAAAAATTTCTCGTTAAACAAATTATTTGATTTACATACCCAGGTTGAGGGCGACACCAAAGTTGTTGAGGAACTCAACCACCATCAGACAATCTGCCACTGGGCGTCCAGCAAGCTTGGTCTTCATACGGGGATACTTAGGGAGGGGCTGTCAATCAAACGCATGAGTAATGTAAGTAGAGAACAGCTAATGTAATCAGAAGTAACAAGTATAGTGTAAATCAAATGCTGAGTAAACAGGAAATACTTAATTACTAAAAGTAATGAAAAATTTCCAGAATGTAAGCTTTTAAATTAAAATGGCAAGTAGATTAAAGATATTTAATTACTAAGCAGAAAAATTACAGTTAGGTTTAAAAATTAAATATATTACCTTAGCGTTTTTAAGCTCCATGTCTTCAACTGGTTTTTTTAACTCCATGGCAACCTCGAGTTCAACTCTTCTCTGATGCTGTATGGATGAAAAAAAAGGATAGCATGTTGATATACGTAAAACCCTTTCACCTCTTAATTTTGTTTTATGATAGAAAAATTGCAATTCTTGTAAAAAGTAGCATTTTACTTTTAAGCTTCTTTTCAAAAAAACTCACCATTTTCATTTCTTTTTGTTTTATTTTCTCATGCAATTTTTCTTCTCTAAGGCGTTCCTTAGTCTAAAAAAATGTGATGTTGAATGAAATTTAGTAGGAGCAAAATGTGTTATGTGAAAGTTTTGTGAAATGAAATGTACGTGAAGATCACACTTAAGAAGACTAAAATGTTTGTATGAAATCTACGATTAAAGATAATTTGTTTTTGTCTCTCAGGTTAGGGTCTGCCGTGTCTACCTGTTTCTCCTCCTGACGTTTGCGCTGCTCCAAGGCTTTCAGCAACAGCAAATGTTGTCTTCTTCTCTCCCTTTCCTAGTGTGGGAGGAAACAAAAATTTTGTAAGCATTTAAATTTTAACAGGTGATATCTGAGACACAAAATATTGCCAGTAACTAAGCTAGTTTGACTGAATAAGGAAGAGGGAAATGGCAATTAATAGTTAACAGATTATTAGAATTGATAGGTTTTTCAAATTTACAGGAATCTGCAAGTACCTTTTAAAGTTTACTTATCACAGTTCATTGCATTAAAAAAACGTATCTCAATAACATTTTAATATAGAACCTTTATGTCAACACTGTTCATAATTGTAATGTTTAGTGTCAAAAACTAAATGAAATTTTTTTTTAAATAGAGACACGTAAAATCTAAACTATTCAATATTAATTTTTCAATTAAAAAAAAATCTATTATAACAGTATATGTCAACAACATTTCAACAAAATGTGAGAAGAATTACTGCCCCATTTTCAAATCTGCATGACTTACCTGCTCTTTCATGATGACCAGCTGTTGTCTTTTCATGTCCCGCTCCTGTGTTCAAATGAAAATTTTAAAACAGTTTTAAAGAGTCATTTAATATGTATTATTGTATAACTTAGCATGTGCAATTAATTATTATTAAATAAAATGATTTAAAATTTGTGAAGAAATGCAATTTAAAATAAAAAGTTTGAAATAAATCCATATGAGGTGTATTTATATTTTGGCCAAAAATAGATAAAATGGTTTGTAAAAAAAAATGTTAAAAAAAAGAAAAACTTTTAAATTATGGTAATTCTTTTTTTTAAAATGTATTCAATATTTTTCAGTAAATACACCACTATTTACCTTCATACCCCATTTTTCAATAGTACCTAAAGTAAAAGTATGCCATATGCCCACCCCTCCCACTTACACAAACCTTATTCCTCTGTACTGCATCTGCCAGCCTCATCTCTTCCAACTCCCTCTGACGCCTGTTGCGAGCCTACAAAGTTTAATAAAGCAATTTTAAAACACTAACAAGAAACGTACTTATCCTAAACACAATTTTTGTTGCCCTTATTCTTTTTTAAAATGTAATCTTACTATATTGATTTCAACCTCCTTTATACTTAAAACATAATTTAACATTAATCAAATCAATAAATAATTTGGTTAAAAAGCAAAAACTTTATGGGTGCAATTCCTGAATTTTTAAGTGCTTCAAACCTTTGATGTACTTTAAGAAAATTTTCTAGAATTTTTTTACAAGTTTTCTTTTTGTTGTATTTTTCCGAGTTAATGTATGGTAATAAACTGTTCCAAAGCAATCCTGATAAATCTTACTTCAATAAACTGCTGTGCCCCAAGTAACCCCAATAAATCTTACTTCAATAAACTGCTGTGCTCCAAGTAACCCCAATAAATCTTACTTCAATAAACTGCTGAGCCCCAAGTAACCCCAATAAATCTTACTTCAATAATCTGCTGCGCCCTAAGCTCTCGCTCCCTGCGTAGCTGCTCCTGAACCCTGATCTTCTCCTGCTGCTTATCTCGTTTGTGCTGCTCCTTTTCTTTCCTTCTCTCTAGAACTGAAAGCAGTGGAACCACTTAGCAACTACAGACACTAACAGCAACACAAAGAATTTGACATCATACATGTAATACAAAGTAAAATTAACACATTACACAGACACAAAAATAATTTTTATGTCAAAAATAATTTTTATGTCAACTAAACATCATTTAAATATTAATTTTAACAAACATTGAACCTAATATTCAGCAAATAAATGAAAATTTAAATTTGTTCCATGCATAAAAGAAACAATGTATGTAGTAATACTAAAGAGTTAGGATCAGTTATTCCTGAAGGTTAAAAATCAACACTAAAGCATTATTAAAAAAAAAAGGTGTAAAAAGTACAGATCTTCAACATATGCTAAGAAATAGATATCAGAAACTTGTTTGATCATGGTTTCATTTAAGAGTAAAAACTAAATATTTAATAAATATAAAAAACATCAATAACCAATTGGGGTAGACAAGGTTTTAAAAAAAAGGTTTTTTAAGCTAATAGAGATTAGCAATAAGAAAGAAAATTTAGACAAATTTTTTAAACAAAGTATTTCCCAGCATATATTGGTTGATATTAGGAAATAAAATTAGTAATGAATAAAAAATTTTGTACATTTTTTAAAAATGGTTTAATATTAGTAAAGCCTCACTCTATTGCGAAACCAAAAGGAAAAAAGCTTTAACACATGCAGTAGTTCGCAACAAAAAGCATAATCTTCTTCAACAACCCTAGCACAAACATTCCACTATTTGTTTGAGGAAAAGTGATTTTAAACTGCTAGACTGCCAGGAGAGGAAGTAGCTATCTTTATTTTGATACCAGCTTGTCACATATAGTGCAAGATTCAAGGCCCAACCTTTTGTCTCCCTTTCTTTCTTCTCCATTTCTTTTAGCCTCTGTCGCTCCTCCTTTTTCTCAAATCTCATCTCTGATGCACGACGTGAGATTTCTGCAAATTTTATCATTCATTGAACTAAAAAAATTCACTTAATTTTTCTTTTTTTTTGTTAAATTTTTTTTTTTATCTCTCAAGGGACAAAACTTCCATTTCCTCCAACTAAAACTGTCAGAGTAGTCACACCCATTCACCTCTCTCTAACAGTTAGTTACTGCTACAGAAACAACATGCACAATTTTTTTGTCAGAAGATTATAGTAAAAAAACTGAACTCTCCAGTCTCCAGAAAACAAAGAGGTTAATCTAACATAAAACTAGAAATATTTCACAGTAGAGTTAGCAAGAGAAATTTAGTCTAGTTTACGGAAACAAAATATATAAATATTAATATATTTTAGTACTTTGAGTAAAAAGGAAATAAAATTAATACTACAATTCCTAAATTGTAACAAAGAGTCAAAACTTGCCCTTGTACCCATACAAAGAAACACCTCACCTGACATCCACCATTACAGTTTCTGAACAAGTTTTTTAAACTAGAAGCAAATTAAAGTCAACAATACTGAACCAGAAGCAACACCTTGACCCACACTAAGAGAAATGAACCCACTGTGAGCACCTTGTAACTCAATCCTGCGCTTCAGCTTGTTCTCCATCACCTGCCTGGCCAGCGCCTGCTCCTTGGCCGCTTTCTCGCGCTTCTGACGGGCCAACATCTGCATGCGGGCCCGCTTCCCACGAGACATCTCAATCTTCTCCACCACTTCAGCGTCAGAGAGAGGAACTGGCTGTCCCTAAATAAAATACCAGAAGATTTTAGCCGTCTTATTTTTAAAAACACAGTTGAAATATATTTTTAATGGTGGGGTGGGGGCAGTGAGGTTGGGTGGTAGAGCGTATGCCTTCTAACTCTATAGTCTCGAGTTCTGAACTCAAGCTCTAGTCTGTAGAATGTCCCTGAGTCCACCTGGCTCTGATGGGTAACAGACTCAAGTAAGAGAAAGTGCAAGCATCTTAGCATAATGATAATACACTGTTTTCAACAGCCCATTTACCAACTAAGGCGTACTTTACTTTTACTTGCTAAGAAAAACATTTAGTAAAAAAAAAACATAAAAAGCATGGTTTTTATAAAATAAATTTTCAAAAATTCTCATTCTGTGTTAAGCCTAGAATGATACCAAAAGTTTATAGAAACACAATGTCATGAATGTAATAGCCTGCTGGATAGCTAATGAAACATTTTAAATATCTCCTCAATCCCCTGTTTTATGTTATTTTCATAAATTCTGCCATTCTTCCAACCATCCTCAGCAAATATCCTTCCAGCCACATTACTAAACATCCCACCAACAATTCCTCCCTCCCCACCCATCTCAGTACACCATATGTCCCACCCGCCATTCCTCCCCCATCCACCCTTCTCAGTACACTGATAATTTTACTTACCCCAGTTTGTCCACTTCTGACTTCATAAAAATGGCCCACATTTACTTTTGTATTGAATGAAAAGTTCTCACGCCCAAGATCGGAGTTAGGATTCCGTTCCAAATACTAAAAAAAAATATTCACACGATAAACTTGTATGCTAATTTCTTTAAAAAAAATCAAAATATTGAGATCTATGCTTAGTAATTCACATTTGCTCACACCAGTAAATTAAAATGATTCTGAACTATGGATGGAATTGTATTGTGGTATTTAAATTTCTGCTGTTAAAAATATTTCAAGCCATAGACTACTCACCCTCATGACGTCCGGTATTGTCTTCATCTTTTTACCACAGGGGGCAAAGTACAAGACTTCACCCACAATGCCCCTGCGACCCATGCCATTAATGATGGTCTGTCTGTTCCAACCATGTTCCAGTGGAATTATCAGCTCGCGCTCGTCCAGTTGGGTACAGCGCTTTTTGTTAGGAGACCCTGTTGAGGAAATACACCTTGTTAGCACAGTGTTGAGGGTTTAGTACAGTGGTGATGATCTAGTACAGTTTTAATGATCTAGCACAGTGGTGATGATAGTCTTGATGGGTTAGTACAGTTTTGATGATCTAGCACAATTTTGATGATCTAGCACAGTTTTATTAATCTGGCACAGTTTTGATGATAGTCTTGATGATTTAATACAGTTTTAATGATGTAGCACAATATTGATGATTAGTCTACATGATTTAGTAGTTTTTAATGATCTAGCACTGTCATGATGATAGTCTTGATGATTTAGTACAGTTTTAATGATCTAGTACAGTGTTGATGATCTAATACAGTGTTTATCTTCTAGCACTGTGTCGATCTACCAAAGTGTTGATTACTTACTAAACAGATTTAAGATAAACCATGACATGACATAAGCCCTACAGCTATGATTAACCCTACCTTCATCAGTGCTCCCTTCAGCTCCACGTTTCCCTGACTCAGAACCATCAGATTCTGAACCTGTCAATGACAAATCATAAGCTGCTTGTTTGTGCAAACACACAGTAAAAGTAAAGTGTCTATTAGACAGATGAAGTAGAGTTCACCTGTTTCTCTGACCTTGGCATATGAAGAAATGATGTGGTCAGTGCAATGCAATGCAGAATTTACTTTCCCAGAAAAGCATAATTAAGTTTAAAATTATTTAATATCCAAAAAAACTTGTGTTAATGAAGTCATGAGCACTTATGAAAACTATCAAAATAACAGAAAATACCATTCACCAGATCAATGCATGAAAGCATTTTAATGTAACAGGTGTTGCACACAAGTGTACAGAGAAATGTACAGTGCAAAACTAATGGGGAACAACTCAGCAAGGCTAAATAAGGGGAACAACTCAGTTTATCAACAGATTGTGTTAGAACCCTAACCCACCTGACTGGCTTCCTATACTGGCAGAACTGTTGTCCATCTTTGACTCCTCGGTTTCTGAAGGTCCAACAGATTCACACGACTCATCAAGCGCACTGGACATGCTCTATAATTTTTAAAGAGACCATCAAACCTTATTCACTCAATAGATATGTTTTTTTTAATTAAAAACTAGTACTAAATTTTAAAAAAGAAAAGTATTGACCAATACTAAGTAAAAAGAGAGAAAGTCATAATTAATTACTAATTCTAAATCAAGACAAAGAAAAACTACAAAACTATATCTTTACCTCTTCTCCCAGTGAGTAGCGTTTCTGCAAATTTCTGAGTTGTTCCTCCTGCCTTTGGAGTTCTGCTTCTAGACGTATCTTCTCAGACAGCTAAAATATTAAAGACAAATAAATTAATTTAAATCACCAATACTCCATTTAAGCTTTATTACAGTATTTTTCTTCTTAAATACTTAACCATATACCAGTTCAATGCTAAATTGCTGCATGGTTAAAAGAATATATAAAAAAATAGTTTTAAAAACCTTGGCTGAAGAATGTATTCGCACAGAATCTAGGCAATATTTAGCTAATATCTGGTCAACACTTCCCCAAAATCTAGCCATGTGGCTGTTATCTAGCAAATCTTTGCCTGTAGCTAGTCAAAAGTAACCCATTATCTATATAGCCAACATTTGTTCACTGCCAAACCAAAATTACTCCTACTCACATTCAGCCACCTCCTAACCCTTACTCCCAGGCAGCATTAACCTTAACCCTACCTCAGACTCCCTAGACCTCCTTCCACTTTGGGAACTCTCACTGTCCGTCCTGGTCCTTGAAGCCTTGGAAGGTCCCGCCACGGGCCTGTCCAAGCCAGCAGACAACGCACCGCTCAACCAATCAGCTTGGTGGAAATTGTGTTTGGATAAAATGTCTGTCATGCCATCATGCATGCCAACTCTTTTGCGAATTTCATCTGCTATTCTCTTCTTTCTATCGTCATCCATGAAATGGGATGGATCATTCTGAAAAATAATGTGGCAATCTAAATAAATATCCATGAAATGGGATGGATTATTCTGAAAATAAAAAAATTTGGCAATCTAAATAAAATGACTTGTAGCCCTATACAGTTCCAAAAATTTGTTTTTCCCAATTGTAACTTTAAATTAAAGGAGAGAGAAACAATGTTCCCTCTAAGCTTCATGGTTGCGGTGCCGCACAGTAGTAATAAACCACCTGCCATGCAGCCATTTTATAAAATAAATATAGCCTTGTATAAGACTGTTAGAACTACTATGTGCACACAAAATACACGTTGCCCACTAGCTTTTCCCCTTAAAGGAAACGTTGGAAAGCAAGGGAAAAAATACAATACAGTTAGTTTGCAGGGTTGCCAAATAATAAAAAATGCATAGTTGAATATTATAGACGTTCCCAAGAAAGAAGAAAATAAATATTATTATGTATTATATTAGCCATATAATTAAGCCATACAATACAGAAAACGCTGACACTCACCAAATTTCTATCATCAAGCTCATCATGGCTTATCTCTCTAACATTGATTCCATCACTGTTGTTAGGGAATCTTATGCCATTAGATGTTGCTGGTTGCTTGTCTAGATTCACTACTTCATTTTTCTGAAACAAAAGATTTCCTATATATATTTCTTGTCCTTGTTTATTTCTAATCTGCTTTTTCCTATGTAAATTTATTACAATGCTTACAACATTTTCAATATATTCTGTTTTCTTTAATGAACAGAATAAGCACATATTTCCTAACAAGTTTAAGATTTAGTTGGAAAGAAAATTGTACAATAGTATATACAAAATGAGACAGCATTTTTAAAATGTTTAAGTCATAAGGGGAAAAAATAACACTTACCTCTTTTTCTTTTGCGACCTTATCATTTCTTAGTTTTTCAGCAGCTTTTGATGACGATGAGGATGGTGGCCTTGTGGATGATGGTTTAGATGTTGATGACAAGAGCTGACCAGGCTCAAGGCTGGCGCTGGTTGATGTTGATGGTGCTGTTGTTGTTGCAGTGGAAGGTGACGTCGAGGATGTTAGAAAAGGTGATGGCAGGCCTAGCTCGGGCCGATGACCCAGATCTGGGCGATGGAGGAATAAAGACTGAGACAGGTACGCTAACTCCGGTGACATGTGATACGGTGTAATCAATGTTCGGGGGTCAAAGGCAAAACTGTCGTGGGGAAGTAACTTGTTATCTACAGATGAATGAGCAGCAGGAGGTGGGAGTGATCTGTCCTTGTTTGGTCTAGGCTCATGGGTCGAGTGAGCCGTTGGTATAGACAGCAGGGGAGATGACTGTGGTCCCCGAGACCCACTGCTGTCCCGAGATTCTGAACCTTTCTTAGACCTCCTGGCGGGCTTGACTTCAGCTCCGGGGATGGACGGGTGGGGAAATGGGAATGGGGAGGAGCCATTCATAGCCCAGCTGTGTAGGTAGGGAGGTATTGAAGACGGGGTGTGCGCTGATGATGTAGATGGCGATGACGACTGTCTCTGTGATGAAGAGGATGAAGACGGTGAGGCAGATGTTGAAGCTGCAGCAGACCTTGAAGACCTCCCTCGTTTGTGAGATGACGGTGATGCCGAGGTTGGCGGGGGTGAGCCCATCTCTCCTGGGTGTTTGGGAAGGCCATAATAAGACGCTGTCAAAAAAAAAAAATTACTTATTGAAAATGTTGATTTCAAAATTTCATTAAAGCAAGTGTATTATTTTACTTCGTTTAATTTCTTTGATTTTATTGTTGCATTTTTTTAAGACATTCTTTAAATGCACAGGTAATTTATTTTCTTAAATTCAACCATGTTAAACTATTTATTTTACAAATGCAGCTTTTGTTAACAAAATCTAAATTAAAGGTACAAAACACTATATAAAATTAATATTTTAATATTTAAAAGAAATTACTACTTTTTTGCTACACACTTTCTTGGCCATTACCATACCATTACCACAGACAAAATGAGACAAGTATTTACATCAGTACACTAATTTCATAACTCTTATACCTTATACCAGGACAGAATAAAGAATACAAAGAATGGGGTGCTGCCAGCAAATAAAAGACTACATATTTACAGTATTAACACAGAACAAACAAAATTTCTGCTCATTGCGAAAATATTCCAAAACCTTCTACCAATCATTTGCATAGCTTTAATACAGGTTCTCAACTTAGGATCCCTGAGATGAAGCTTTTTTGTGCAAAATTAAAAGTATAAGCCAAAGAACAAGTGCATATTTCACAAAACAAACAATGAAAGCACTTCCAGAATTTATTTTTAAAAATACCTAATTCTTAGTTAATTTTATTGCTAATATTCAACACAATCTGGACATAAGGGTGACAACACTATTCCCTGTGTGTAAAGGCCATTGAATCAGATGAACTCTACTTCATCAACCCCATGTGTCTTGGCCACTAATGGGAAAAGATGATGACTCTACACAATACAACAATTAATATGGTTTATTAATTTAAAATTACATTTTAATTAAATAATACCAAAAAACATTAGGTTGCAATTACTAAAGCAAAACAAAGTACATTTAATTTTTTAACCCATTTTAAAATTAGTCCAAGGTCACATGCAGAACTCTTAAGAAACTTGACAACAAAATAGACCCAACCAGACACTGACGCAACATTTAAAGCATTGTCTAAAGGGTTTGCGGGGAGAATAAAATGACAAACAGTAGAGAAAAAAAAAATAGTCACAGTTCTTACAAGGCTTGGATAACTCCAAAGGAGAGGCAAGCAAAAGACCAATACTAGATTTAGTTGAGTCAACGACGCTAGAGTCAGGTCCCAGTGGGGCGGGAGCCAGCAGTCCCAGATTCCCCACCAAGAAGCCTAGTCCCAGGGGATTGTGAGCCGAGAGCTCGAGGTCAGGGAGAACGACAGTGGAAGGGTTGCTGCCACCAGATGCTGCGGTGGTCGTGACGGTGTTTGAGGAGGATGCCGTAGCAGCAGAGGAAGAAGTTGGTGTTGGAAGAGGGAGCGGTTCAGATGCCAGTCGCCACCATTCTGAACCCCCTAGTTAGTAATCAGGGCGGAAAGCGTGTTAGTTCAGAACTAAGCAATCATATTTATATAATACACTTTAAGGTTATTCTAGTGAATGCTAGTGACTAAAGTAAATAAATTTCTAAATACAGTCTTACTGTAAACTATAATAAAGTTCAATTCTTAAATTATATTTATTCATATAGTCCTATTTTTTCTGCCTAAATGTTTTAAAATGTCTAGATAATGTAGTAGATCTAAAAAAAATTGAAACATTTAGTTCAGTAGTGTGAAAAAAGTTTATTTAGATTCTAATATTTTATCAACCAGCAATGTTTGAGAAGTTTTTTTTTGTCTAAAAAAAGCTTAAAAGTTAAAAGGATTTAGATCGACTTCAAATTGACACTATTTTATTTCAATGTCATTAGTCACTTATTTATCTCATCTAACTAAATATTAGACTAGATTCTCTAAATTAAAATTCATAGAAATTTTTTCAAAATATTTTATAAAGTGATTATTAAATTATTAATTATTCTAGTAATCAATTAGTGTAGCTAGATTTCTTGAGTATTGAATTCTATGTACTAAGTAGTAGTAAGTACTAAGTAGTAAATGTTTAATGTAATGTTAACATAGAGTCTAGAGAACACTAGAGCTCTACTAAGACTATTGTAGATCGAGACTACTATAATTACTATTAATTTAATAAACTTTAAATAAATAATTAATTTAATAAACATATTATTATTTATTATTAAATAAAATTAATTTTGAAAAATTCATCAAACTGAAACTCAAACTGAATGTGCTCAATCCTGGCCAAGTGACTAACTCACTAAACTAAAAATATAATTAAAATAATTATCTTTTTATTAAAATTAGACTACACTACATATAATCATATAATATAGAAGATCAAATGACAATATTATTTTTAATTAATTAGATCTAGACTAGAGTAGTCTATAAAATTATCATTAGAAGTCAATTTTTGTAAAAACGTTTGTGTTTAGTAAATAAACGTTAGAGTAGTTTCCCTTGAATAAAAAAATGGAATAATTTCATTTGTTTCAAAATGTTCAAGAAACAATTAACAAGGTGTATATATTTACATACTTTAAAAAAAACGGGTTTTTAGAGAAAGACACTTAAATGTAAAAATAAAATAAAAGTGAAACAAACTGACCTGCTGCAAGGCTGTGGCTAAGTGCTGCTGCATGAAGCGGGTTGTGAATCCCACTCAGACCACCAAACAGCCCAGGAAAACCTGGGGGTTGTCCCAGAAGTGAGTAGGGATTGGCTAGGTGGGCCAGGTGAGGGAAGGAAAAACCAGAGGCAGCTAGAGAGTGGACACCTGTGGGGAAAAGTTAACAAGATTTGTAAACAAATTATAATTGGTTCTTTACAGCCAGCTAATGTTATGGCCATTTCAACTAATGCTACTGTTGAATGCCAAAAAGCATATAAATCTTAATATGATTATGAATACATGTTTAATGCAGATCTGCAAAACACAATAAAAATGTTCAGAATGAAATACAGTAGCGTAGCGAGGGGGGGGGGGACACATAAGTCCCCGGGCGCCGACCTTAGGGGGCGCCAAATTGGGTTGGAAAAATAAATTGAAAGGTTGTGGGGGGTGCAAATCGAAAGTTTGAGCAGGGGGTGCAAATCGAAATTTGAAGGGGGTGCAAATCAAAAGTTTCAGGGGGGGGGGTGCAAATCGAAATCATAATGGGGGGGTGCAAATTCAAAAGTTTGTCGCTACGCCTCTGATGAAATATTTTAAAAGAAGTGGAATTGGATTTTACTAGCACACCAGTTGAAAAACACATTAAGGATGATGAAATCTAAAGAGCTTTGAAAAAAAACAACTTCAACAAATGCATTGGGGCAATGTAAACCTCTAAGCAAGAATCTGTGGCAGATGGGATGGTTGATAGGTAGGGAGCATGTAAAACAAATGTATTGCATTTGGTATAGTTTTAGTTTATTGGACACCCCTGAGTCCATCTGGCCCTAAAGGATACTTGACTGGTCATAGAACTGGCCCTAAAGGATACTTGACTGGTCATAAAACTGGCCACCCAAGTGGCCTTGTCAATGATGGCCTGGTGACATAAACTGATGGAATTACCTATTTGGGCCAGTAGGTTTATTTACTTTTTGCACTTTATAATTAGAGAATATTTTAAATGTTGAGATGTACAATTTGTCAGAAAAAAATGTAGGATTGGATGAGTTTTGTCTGTAACAATATTGTTTTTGAATATCAGATTTGTATGATAAATGTTTGAGATGTATGAGTGAATGAGGTTTATCTGCAAAAGCGTAAAATGTAGGATTGGATAAGTTTTTCTATAAAAATTGAATAGTTGTTTGTACCTAAAAGATGAGATGGATCAAAGAGCAGCCCAGGGTTCGGGCTGGGAGATGACTTCTTCTCGTCTTTACTCATTGTTTGCGCGGGTTATCTCCCCTGAGTCGTCTGCTTCATAGATGCTGGTCAAGGTGGTCTGGGCTGGTCGTCTGGTCAATACTGTGTTACGGCTGTGTGTCCGGGCATCATCTCGAGTTGTATCATCCTTCTAGCCTTTTATCTAGAACTTTCCAGACCTTTAGCTGTTGCTTTTATGTGAAGCCGGTGTAGTCATCTAAATCAGGAAATAAAAAACGTAGAATGTAGAGTGACATTAATTGTTTCGTTGTGTGCGTGTACTTAAAGCTTGTGTATTAGATATCTAGACATTGCATTGGGAGGAAGACACACACGTTTTAAAGTATGCGGTGTTTAACCTTAAGGTCAAGTGCATGAATTTATCTGACAGAAAATATTCCAACGATATCTTATTAATTTTCGCATTTTTATTTTCAGTGGACGTTGTAACTTTTGCATAGATCTATAAAAATAATAAACCGAATTGCCAACAAATAGATTTTTGTATAAAAAAATATAGTTGCTCTGTCTTCTCAACCATTTTCTCAACAGCGTTGGTAATTTTGTTTTTTAATTATAGTTTTGAGGAAATGTAGTTTTAAATTTACTATTAGTTTTAAAATAAATGTAAGAGACAATTAATTATTTAAACACGGCAAAAGTTTTAGTTGTAACAAAAAATATTTAAGTTTATGGGCCTATATCTGAGTTTTATTAGACAGTTCCGTTTGTCTATGCACATTTTAAAACAGTAGGCCATAGGAAACGTGTTTGTTTATGTTTTATTTTGGTTTTAGGATCAGCGATAAGAATACTAGATTGTGTATTGTAAACATTCAACATACCACGGTACATCCACACAGCAACCCAACACGAATAACAAAATATTATCAACAGACTTTATATTTTAGGTACTAAACATCTTGACAGAGGATCTTAACGAACAAGTTATCATGCCATAAAAGACTTTGGCTCAACACAGAACTCGGGAGGATAGCAGCTTCGAGTTCTAACCCCACTCGTGCCAACTACAACCTAAAGACAAGCTTAGTTTCATGCTTCAAAAATGTGCACAACAACCCCAGCGATCGTGTCAAGTGTGTTACACAAGTGCCTCCTAATTTTCAGTTGTTTAAAAATAGATTCGGTTGGTTTCTACCGTGCTAATCGCGAACAATAACTCCATTGATACAAAAGTGAAGTCTACGACGCGTTAACTCCCCTGGGTAGGGAAGAAAGCTGGATATTGTCCGCAGTGAATCGCTTACCCCCGTGTACGACCCTTCAAACAATTACCAGCCAGGTTTGAATGGGGCTGTGCTGGGTGATGGGCTGTACGGACAGGTGAGGGGTGGCGGTGATGGGGTGGGGGGGGGGGGGGGAGGAAGGCAACAATGAAATAATATGGAAATAAATGAAAATATTGCACAACAATGAACAAGATATGATGTATTTATAAAATTAGGTAACGACCGTTTTTATAAACTTAGGTAACGACAGAGATGGCTAAAGATAAAAGTAAGATGAGTGAGAAGAAAAAAAGATTTGGAATGAACAGCGACGAATGAGAGCGGAAGTGAAGAGAACAAGAGGCTACAAAGATGGGGTTTTTAATGAGAGTGGTGGGGGTAGGGGCAGGGGGGGGGGGGGAGGCAGCAATAACGGAGCACATGGGAGTAGAGATAATATTTGGAGGCGACGATGAAAGGAGATTCGTGTTAGCCTAACGTAGGGTGGAGGGTTGGGGGTGGTGACGTAGGGTGGAGGGGAGGGTGTGTGGGGGATCAGGTTGACATTTCATTATAACGTAACGGCGCGGAATTTAAAAAAAAAACGGAGAAGGCCAGAATCTCGTTACCATTTTTTTAAAGGTGTGAGGTTAGAGTGGCCAGGGTGGCCGGGCGATGCGTGAGTCAACTGTCCATCTGCCAGCGTTGACCAAGTTTGACTTGGTCGTGCGAGCGATGAGATGCCGGCTTTCTGCAATTGTTGCCGGCCTTCCGTGGCGCGGTGCCGGCTTTTTTTTCAAATCGTTGTCGACTTGCCAAAACTCGTTGCAGGTTTTCCGCAACTCTATGCCGGCTTTCTAAAACTCTTTGCCGGCTTTCCGAAGCTCAATGCCGACTCTCTGCGCCGAAATGCCGGTTTTCTGTGGGGACGACTTTCTAATTAAAAATGTATTTTTGTCCCCCTCCCTCCTTTCTAATAATGAACTGACATCAAGGTTAATGAGTGGAGATTTATTTCAGCAAATGTGTGAATCTACAAGGACGAAGAGATGCGGTTGGCTGGAAAAGTTCCGGCATTATTAGATATGTTCATCCAATTTATAATTACAAGTTACACATGTCTCTACAATGCGACGTAACAAATAATATTCAGTTGTTGTTGTTGTTTTTTTAATTACTTTAAAACTAAAATCCGTGCGACCGGTTGAAGAAACCCTCGTCATACTCTCGGCAAGTTATTCGAGAACCTGACAGTGTAGGACAAACTGGAGCCAGTGTCTACACCCCTCCCATCGTTTCTATATTTGGTTCTAATCTGTGAGGCTACCAACACTACCTGTTTTATTGTATCCACTAGTGCAAAGACTCAGTCACATTTTTCACCGTGTCCAGGATAATGTGGCCGGAGTTGTACGAGATCGATGATGTAACAAATACGGCGGCTTTCATGTTTGATGTCAGTTTATTTTTTATTGATCCCCCACACCCCCAACCCCCAAGTCACCCCTGGAAAGTCTCAGGCTTGTCCCGGAGATGATGCCCGGCAGGAGGGGAAAGCTGACCCGCCCCCTCCTTTTTTTGTATATATTCTTGTGGTCTCTGGTTATCCAAGTCAAACATCGCTTTACAAAACAGACGGAGTGGGTTCTTCACATCGGTTCCCAGATAAATGCGCAAAAAGAAAATGCTTAAATGCAAACTAATTATACTAATACTCTTTAATTTTGTGATAATTACGTGAAAAAGTGTTATGCTACAGTGTACATGTGGTCATTCTTTGTTAATTAAGGTATGTAAATGCTCGATTTAAGAAAACAAAAATGCCCTTGCGCACTTTTTTGTGCGCAGTTTTCCGTTGCGCAGTTTTCCGTTGCGCTGCTTTCCAGTCACCATTCACAACACCTGAACTGGTTGGTTGGAGGACACACTCTAACCACTCCGCAATCATATGGATATGGCCAGAATGAAGGTCTAAAGAAGTGTAGGAACAAACCCTGGGCAGGATCTATGTGAAACACCAGGCTGGACCTATGACTGACACCTCTGTCATGGCTGACAGATATCCACACCACCACGGCCAAGTGCCGTCATCTTATACTGAACCCTGAGGATCTCGTTAGCAGGATCGGATGGACAGGCACTTGCGGTCTCCCTAACATCTCTAGCCCCGGCTACAATGCGGTCTCCCTAACTTCTCTAGCCCTGGCTACAATGCGGTCTCCCTAACTTCTCTAGCCCCGGCTACAATGTGGTCTCCCTAACTTCTCTAGCACGGCTTCAATGCGGTCTCCCTAACTTCTCTAGCCCCGGCTACAATGTGGTCTCCCTAATTTCACTAGGCCAGGCTACAACTCAACTCAATAAAGAAAATAAAACAGCAATTTGCCTGTCGTTCACTGGTACATGTTGCGACAGTCCATTCAACTCGACCCTAACCCGCAGTACCAACACCATCATTCCATCAAAGTCTAGTTACAGTATTTTCTCATATCCTTAACTCAAAACAGCTAATACCCAATATCCGATTTACTAATTATAAAATACACGATGTCGTGATTTCAACTCCTCCTTTTTTTCAAAGTCACCCCCCACCCCACCTCCAAAAACCTGACCTCCCTTGTGAAAGCAGCCAGGCTGTTAAAATATTTCGGATACCTCTTTGATGATTTCACTACGCCAGAACACGTGCACGTTTTAAAGTGTACGCACGCGCATGCCAAAGTGCATGCACCAAAAGAGCTTGAGTACATCGATTACATCGATTTTACTCACCCTAATGCACATCACAAGCACGACCAGACCGTCCTCGTAGTAAAAAAAATGAGATGTATGGCCAGCTTGTCATGTAAAAAGTTATTGTTCCGTTTTTTTTTCAAGTTGAACACAACAGAGTTTGGTTTTGAAGAGAGATAATGATAACACATGGCTTTTGTTTGCCACCTTTGTTACCTTTAGATAGGCACCCCCACCTCACCACCCCTCCCTCCCTAGTCCCATCCACCACCTTCAAGTCGGCACCTTGCACGACTACTGAGGATATCAGTAATGCGGCCGTCCATATGGCGGGGCTGTATCAGAACTATGGCCGTCCATATGGCGCTGCTGTATCAGAACTATGGCCGTCCATATGGCGCTGCTGTATCAGAACTATGGCCGTCCATATGGCGAAGCTGTAGATAAACTTGGCTGGCCTCTTATAAACCGTACAGGCCAGACCCCCACCTTCCCATTCGACACCATGAAGATTGGGTAGGCGTAGGTAGACCATCAGTAGACCATCGACCGTTGGTAGACATGGTGGACGGTCAATCGTACATAGACCATCAGTAGACCATTGATAGAACATCAAACGTTGGTCGAAATGAACGACGGCAGAAGGATTTGGGAGTCACAGTCTGGGGATCGTGTATTTTAGTCAGGGTTGAGTCTACCATCAGAATTTAGGTCCTAGGGGTGGGGAATCTACCATCAAATTTGAGGTCCTGGAGTTGTAGGGATCTTGTCTACCATCAGAATATAGGTACTAGGGATCGAGGGGGGAGGGGGTCAGCCATCAATATTTAGACCCTAGGCTTAGTTGTAGGGATCGTGTCTTGGGTTCAGCTGTAGGGACCAGGGATCAGCCATCGAGGTTTCAGATATTAGAGTCGAGTGGGTGGTGGCGTGGTGGCTACACAAAAATCGTGATCAGACACTCAAGCTGATCAAACCCTACGGTCTAGTAGATACCGTACACAAACATCATGCCTATGACAACTAGTGGACATTAGTGTATTTAAATTACATACGTTTATTGTTCTGCTTTTAATTTCGGCAGTCACTTCAAACTCGTCGTTAAAAAATGAACATATACACGTAATAAATACCGGTTAATTTTTAAAAATAAAAATATATTAATAAATTTATGCCTGATCTAAATCCCAACCTTCCATCAATAAAAAACTCCCTTCTCGCGCTTTATCTCTCTCTCTCTCTCTCTCTCTCTCCC